TCTTGTTAAAAAGTTAAAATATCAAAAAAAAAAAAAAAAATTAGTATCAAATACCCTTTTTTACAAAATGTATAAAAGGTCTCTTGCGCTTAACTTAATCAGAGAATCGTAAACGAGGAAATGCGAAACGCCTATGTTATTTTATTATGTGTAAGATAGATAGAGAAACAAGAATATTAGTGACGAGGCCTTTTAATAAAAACACTTTTTTTTTCCGTTGTAATCCGGTGAAAATTAATCACAGAGACTTTCATTGGGGTAAATGAAGCATAATTTTCAAAATATTTTGATAGTTTTTTGAGTTATTTTTAGCTATTTTAAATGTTTGAGTTTTTTTATTTTGTTTCATGTGAATACAACTTTATTACCTTCGTATAAATGCTAAACAAGAATCACCATACGTATTGCCCTCAATTGTAAACAGAAAAGATCTGATATTGGGGACGCTATACTTGATACTTCGGAGCAAGATTTCTTGTAGAAAAGACGTTTACGGGCAGAAAATTAAACGAAACACACTCACATCACAGTAAAATCAGCAGATCCCTCGCTACGCTTCGAACTTAAAAAGAAATACATTTATAGAAACTACTATATTCATATAATAGACATTCATTAGTAAATTTCACTACAAAAGAAAAAAAATATATGCCCGCGGACCTTTTTCATAATATTTTTTAATCCCGAACAGATTTGTCGAAAGTTATTACGAAGTATGCGAGTTAATTATTATGCATAAACAATAATAGTTTTTTCGGAATGGTAGGTTTTAGTTTCGTATCAATCATTATGAAAAGTCCTCATGAGCAAGTCCATGATAATGTGTGCTTTTGAGCGACCCACATTTGTGCGAAAACTTTTTAAAATGTAATCCTACGAACAAATTATATATACCTTTTCTCGTATGCGTAAGTATGACTCGATGTGTGCGACAGCAGTGTGAACACTGGCAGAATAATATAACATTATATAATATTATAATATGTAATAGATCAATATTATTATAATATCGTGACTTCGGAACGTGTAATAAATATTATATTGTGTTCCACATAGAGAATAACACGCAACTGTACCGATATGAAAGATATTGGATATTCGAAATGAATAAATTATTGTATCGGGATTTAAAAATATGCAATATAATATTTATTTAAAAAAAAAAAAAAAATAAAATAAAAATATTTTGTCGTTATTTAAGTATTTAAGTATTATTTCCATGTGAGTTAAATAATTAACAAAATGAAACGTACTTTCGTCGGCAGTCCATGTCAAATAAAATTATAAGAGGTGTTCGAGTTAGGTATATATTTCAACTATTTAGGTAAGTAGGTAGGTATACTATTAGTATAAAAATGAAAAAAAAAATAACGTATTTTTGGTGAATTATTGACATTGATCGACAACTGCGAGAAAAATACCATATCTTAGCGGTAGGTTTTTGTAATGCGATAAGAGGTTTAATAATCATAATTATAATTCTGCAATGGTCTCGGGGGAAAAGTCGTTTTAATATACTTCACTTTATCGGTAAGAACAATTTTTTAAAGATACCGAATTTAATAATACTATACATATATACGATAATCGAACGTTGACTATAATATTATAATCGCGTTATCGTTGCCAATGATGTTTTGGATACCTATGTATAATTATATACAAAGCTAATAAAAAATGCATTACTTGTGCGCAAGGTATACACTAACCAGGTACTGATATCAATCATCGTTATACATGTCAAGTATTATTTACAATGTTTATGAATAATTATACATTTCGTATAGTATAATAATAGTTGAATATGTAAATTTCTACAGATGTCTGATTATTTTAAAATTATTGTTCAGAGGATTGATTTAAAATAAAAAAAAATTGCTATTACATATTTTTCCACAGAAAAAAGCGACAAATATTAATCGGTATTAAATATTATTCAATTTTGATCTGTGATAGTTGGTGTTTATAACACCTTTATGCACAAGCAATTATACTAATTATAATGTAATATGACAGTACCTTTATCAATATAAGGTTTTTTTGTTTGTTCGGAGATTTAATATACATCTGTAATACGTCAAAACAAGCTAGACGAATTATGAAATAACATCAATTTAAAATAAGAAAGGTAAGATAATGGAGACGGATGCAGACTTCTGTGTAGGTAGGAAGTTGGGAAGGTAGGATACAGACGGGAATTTAATGTATTTCTGTAAGCAATGATAAACCATTTCTTACGAAAAAACCACTCTGAGCGAAGTTCAGTTAAAATAGTGATGCTTTGTCAACAATATGTCATTTTGTTGTAAAATAATTAAATACGGCTATACATACTTTTTTTAATAAAATTTATTTAATGTTGTACCAATTTTTCCAGTTTTTCTATGATTTTCCAAGTTTTCCCATGTTTTATCCTGATTTTTCAAATTTGAAGAGAAATATCCTAAGAAAAATTACCTCGCTAGTAAAATTTTCTTTTAAAAACATTGATACCATTAAGATAAATCGAAAATTTTTAGAAAAGGTGCTACACATAGAAATTTGAGCATGTCTTCTGGTAGAAAAGTTGAGCACGAATAAAAAAAATAAAACAATATCTTTGTTAAACTATAAACTACTTCGCTCCACTCAGAATCTAAGAGAAGTACGAGTTTTATTAGAATAATGTGTTATTGTTATTTCTTAGAAAATAATTTTTCCGTTAATGAGAATGATCGCATTTTAGATTCTGAGCGAGACGAGAGATTTAATGGTTTTACAGCTATGATGTGTATTTTTTTTTTTCTGTTTGTAAACAACTTTTCAAGTAGAAATCAAGACAAGAGACCTTTTTTTGTTGCATTCTGACTTTAATTAGTACTTTTAAAAGGTCATTTTTCGAAACTCTCATTAATATTTGTGCTAATTAAGAAAAACTGGTTTTTTAGGTTAAAAAATATTAAATAATTAAAAAAAAGTTGTCAATCATTAGAAATCACTGTTACTTATTTATGTTTTGTAATTAATTAGTTTTTATTATTTTTAAACAATCGTTGTTGTCGTGAAAATGCACATTGTTTTTTTTAATTATTATTCCTTTTATTTGCTTTATTGAGCTTCGCTTATAATTGTTTTTCATTAGCAATTGTTTATAGTTGCTTAAAGGTATAAATTATATAACTTTATGTATCCTATTTTCTAACTACTCACTTATAATATTGGACACATTTCATCTCCAGTATCAGCGCTTTTTTTAAATTTATTTTTACTTGGTCATCTGCTCCCACAAAAATTGTTCTTTTTTTCCAACGTTTTATTATTGTTACTATTTTTACTTTATTTTGTACATTTCATTCGTAATTTTATAGGTCTATCTAAAAGAGTGTTATCAAAAATTAAAATACTCAGGTGTCCTGATCCTAGAGGGGCTTTCCCCTCTAGGAGGGGGATGTACCACCTAGGTTCGGTAACTGTAATTTCCAGTCAGCATATTATAGCTATTCACAAGACCTATAATACCTACGATTTTAATATTTTTATCAATAAGTTTTTCCTTGAACTAATGATTGTTGTAAATCAACTAAAGCTATAATACCTGATAACAGTCAGCAGATATTATGGTTTTAAAATACCAGTCATCAGTACCAAAATACTAAAATCGATGTCAACAAAACAGCCGCGTCAACGGCGTTGCGTTGTATATTCCCCCCCTTTTTTTGTACGATTTTTCCCCAATTTGTTTCGTCAATAATTTACTATCGGATTTAATTTTATTGTTTTCATTTCGCGAGTCTAAACAAATATTTCAAATAAAATAGAAAGTTCAAGTCTTTTAAAAGTGGTATACCAAAGTGTGAAAGTGGTTTGGAGCGTTTTTACTATAAATGTATAAAAAACTTGGAAGATGAAAATCTCGGTCGTACTTGCGCCGTGTGACAGCGTGGATTTTACCAAAAACTATACGCAGGTTTATTATATAGGTAAGAAATAAAATCTCAGTGTAGGTGTAATATTATAAATGACACGGATTCTACATTGTTACTCTTCAATTTTTCACCGTTGAACATCGGAACACACGAAAACTCCTATGCAAGTATATATACGTACATTTATGTCCGTGTGAATGGGTGCCGGTTGTTTTCTACACACACGCGGTGCGATAATATTTCTCGCAGACTTTTTTTCTTTCTCTTTTTACCTTTTTTTTTTTAGTCCGTTATCTACTCTCACTTGTACGTATACGTATACACACGCGCGAGGGCGTATATACATTATTAAGCCGGGGGCAAACGACACTGAAATTTATTAAATCCGACCCACGACGTCGAAAACGGCGTGTAGATATTATTATTATAGAGCAGGCACGTGTTGGAGATTTATACTGACAAAAAAAGAAAATCGATTTTTGTACTGTATAGGTAATAAGTAGACAAGACGATATAGATCCCGTTTAAACTAAAAAAAAAAGAAAAAAAAACCACTGATATTTCGTAGATTTGGACATTTTTAAGAGAACACGAAATATATTTAATAAGAGCTTGGATATACATAATCTATTTAAACGAAATTTGTCTATACTCGAAAATATTCAAATTTATTATAATGCCAGTAATTATGGCATTTTTTTTTTCATCATAGTCACGCAAACAAAGCAAGTAAATTAAACTCATAAAATTATTTTTAAGGGAACACGTCTATTTTCAAATTAAAACTCGATAGTCAAAAATGTTACATTGGTTTAAAAAATAATTATAATACTTTTATGGGTGTTTCATGACAAGCTACAGGGAAAGATATACATGAATACTTGTCATAGTGTAGTTGATCAATTTTGTCCTTCAAACATATTTTAACAACAAAATTTGTTTAACTCGAAAATATTTTGTATTAAGTTACTATTTAGTATTTTTAAACATTTTTTTCATGTGTGTGTGTGCGAAAATTAAGCAATGGTTTAAAATCGTTAATGATCGTGAATCGACACTCTTCCTAGTTAAAATCGTTTAAACGATTTGAACCGTTCCCGAGTTCATCTAGAAAAGAACTATAAGTCCAAAAGAGTGATACTATAGCAGTGCGAAAAGACGAACGGACCGCGAATGAGTTACCGTATGGGAAAATGATGAGTTCAATGATCTAAATCAACGCACGTTCTTATTATTTTAAGTGTGTTGTTTTCAACGTTACTTTGCATGTTTTGTTCAATGCCGATTAACCCTTTACACATTGTTATTGTAATGCAGAGTAACATTGATAATAATAAAGACCAGTATATTATTTCCGTTGTATATAAATATAATGTAACTCTGGTGTATATTCGTGCGACGAAACGGAATAACACCATCCATTTTTTTTTTTTTTTTTTAAAAACATCAGCTTAAATTATAACTTTCGACTACGACATACTATGTACATGTATAGGTTTACTTTTTCCTTCAGAAACGTGAAATGGTACGGAAATGTTTATTACTGTCGTGTCGTTTAACTATAATTATATAATAAAATAATCTTGCTTTAATATTTAGGAAATTAAAAATACGATAGTACTGCACGGATACGCGACTCGCTTATCGCAGTCATTCATTCCACGCATTGAAATTTGTTTCGTTTTAACAAAACGTATTCACGTTTTACGTGAACAGTATAGTAAAAATTTTTTAAAAAAACCGGACACACATTGAACCCTAGGTAAACCACTGCTGTATGCAGGAAGTTTGGGTTTATAATTTATATACTGGAATCAACGACAGGAGCGTCGTTTTAGAGGTTCAGGAAATACTTTCTCAACCCTATTTTTTTGGAAATGTATTTTTGGTTTGTATAAAATGTTAAAATTGCGCGGTCGTTAGTTAAATGTAAAATGCGAAAGCAGGTAATCGAACCACTTCCAATGTAAGAGTGAGACACGGATTATAAAAATTACCACGGTTAATTTTTAACCGCTATTATGATTGTTGCCATGGTTAAATAAACAGGCATGTCAGCAAGATAACAGTGAATTTTCTAAACGCCACGTGGAGTAAATAACAGTTTACAGTTAGTTATTTCATCATAAAATAAATGATGACCTTATTTTAGTATGAATGTTATTGCAATATCAAAAACTACAGTATTTGTTAAAATGTTAAGTAGGAATACGAATAAAACTAAGTAGACAAGATATCTAAATGGCCTGATAGAGTGAAAAATTAGCTAGATTCGAAAGTTTGAATTTCTAATGAAAAACTAAAATTACGCCCCGGATCAACGATACACTATTACATTTGAAAAACACATTAGGTAAGCTAGAAAGGTTATAGAATTAGTTGGATAGATTGTCCGTGTTAGGTTTTTTTATTGAATCCAAAGTAACCAGGAAATCAACAAGACCGAAACCAACGCCATAATCATCTGGTATCAGTTGCAAGCAATCCTTTTCTTTATTATTATTACCTCATATCCGAAAATAGAAAATTTGTCTTAACATATTGGTGTCACGATTTGTATAGGGGGAACCACCGTCCGACACGTTGCATCGTATATTATTATAAGAACAATATAGTACCCTAATTTGTCTTCTTTTAAATTTCCAAGAGACAGGAGTGAGAAAGTCGTTAGGTACTAAAATACGTGCTTTTCCCGTGCTGCAGTGTCGTTGTTTCGGGAAAAAAAACTTTTATTGGACGGTAAACATTCATCGTAGACAAATTTATATGCGGATACACAGTGTTGGTTTGGGACTGAAAACGGCCCAAAAGGCAAATTTTTCAAAAGGTTTTCGAAAAAATAACTCTACACAATTTTTATTGCGCGTCGTAATTTATATTTTGTTTATTTCTTTTTTCGACAGCTTTATTAAGTACCTCCGCTGCACTGTTATAATATAAGGAAAGTTTGAATGTTAACAAAGTTATGCCGGTGTGTTTTTTGTATCTTTTACTTGCCTGTTGGATTTCTATTATTTCTTTTTTATGCGTACTTTTTGTCTTTTGTGTCATTTTTTCGCGGACAAGAATAAAAATATTGTCTCAATAGTTCGAAAAACCGTATCGTAAAAAAAAACATTCGGACGACAGGTGAGTGGTTTTACTTGTCGTTGTCACTCACAATATTATTATTGCTAAACTTGTTACTCATGTATACTGTCGCAGTGATTTATTTGCATAGTTAATAATAATTATGTAAACAATGTGTTACACCCAAATGGGAACTCAAAATATTTTAATTGGGGTTTCAGAAAGATAAAGACAGTGTTGTATTTTATTTAAATATTAGTATCTTCTCTAGATACATTTACTTAGATAAATCGTAAAGGACCACTTCTCCCAATGTACCTCGCAGTAACCTTCTGAAAGGATAACATTACAAGAGAACAATTTTAACTACTGTTTTATGAGGAAAAAATCATTATAAAATATAATTAAAACCTGCATAATAATATGTGTTTTGAATTTAAGCTGTTAAAACGTTTAAATTTAAGCTGTTATAAATGACTATATCTCAGAAAGTATTTGAAATACAGAACAAAATGTTATAAATTGAAATTGCTTGACAAGTATAAATATTTGAACCCAGAGTAAAAAATAAGTACGAATGATACGTAGAAATAGGCTCGAAATTTGTATTTTTAAACTCCTGATAATTATAAAAAAAAATTCCATTTCAATCTAAAGTTATCCGTCTGAAATATTTCGTTTTAGAATTTTGAAGTAAAATATACTGTTGATAGAACAAATTAAAAAATTATAAAATCCTACTTTAATTCGGTATATACAAAAATAATGAAATATGAAAATATTGTGTAATTATGCGTGGGTATATAAGTCAGTAATCGCTAGTCTGATAAAAAAAAAAAAAAAAAAATGCATTAAAACAAACATTATAATATATACTTGCCTTAAAATTATTATTAATGTATGCCTTTATTATTCGAACGTTCATAAATTTTAATTTAAAACTTTTTAAAATACGGGCATAAATTAAACTATATAATACAGGTATAAATTATAAATTTAGAATTATGTTACGCGCCGTTTATGCTAATCAAATTTAAACATGCGTTATATTATTTTCCATGATAATTCAAGTGTCAAGTTTATATCGTTTCCAATCTATATGAGAGCAAAATCAAATATTATGTTTTGGCATAGGTATCTACTGAAATATTTTAGAGTTTGACTAACACTTAGTATGTATATGGTATAAACGTAACATGGTGTTAAAACGGTTTATCAAATTAATGTACAACCGGTTTTTGAAAACTTACCCGTACAGTATCAGATATTGCTTGTGAATAAGGTTGCTTTAAGAATTCAATTTTAACAAAATAATAACATAATTAATGATAACATAATCATTGTATATTAAATCAGTTTACATAAGTTTCACTAAACCGTTTTTATATCTATAGAAATATAGACAATTGACATAAATGGTTTAATATAGATAATCAGCTAAACCGTTTAAATAAATTTAAAAACGATTTAATTTCAAACCATTTTAAAACGACATTAAATAAATATGCCTAATTAAACGCTAATAGTACTAAGACGACCAACAGACCAATAGTCAACCAAGACGTTGAATAGGAGTCCGGCGTATTTTCTACAAAAGCTGGTATGTTTGTATATTGAGTCAAGAAATTGAATATTTTAAAATATTTTTAAGTACAAAATATATCGATCGTTGGTATTTTGCGTGGTGAAAAAAATACTATAATAGTTTTGAAAATTTTCATTCAAAATGAAATGCATCGTATCACCCAGGACCAGAAGCGATTCTAGGATTTATTTTTAGGGAGGTTTGAAGTGAATTTTTCCAACTTCCAAGAAAACAATTTGAAATTTGAACACAAGGTACGCAATATGTTGAACTTAGTAGCACACGAAACAAATTTGAATTGAATTCATTAGGTTTTTTAATATCAATTCTATTAAAATCGTAATAATTATAGCATTTAACAATATCTACTAACTTAACTTCGCTCATACTTGTTTTTCGTTAGAAATGGTTTATCTTCACGTACATATATAAATTAGGTAACTTTATGGATTCTACTTTCCCGAATTTCCACAATTGTATCTACAATTATCAATTTAATTAATTTAAATGGCTCAAATTTTAAGAAATTAAATCATTAATCTCATCAATTCAGTTTGTCGGATTGGCCATTGTTATCTGCATTATACGGTTAGTGTTGCCTTTTTTATATTCGGATAACAATATGGATTAAGTGCTGAGTACTGAAGCCATTGAAAGCTAGAAAATCACCTAATACACTCTAAATGGCCGGAATTATACTGAAATACTTACTTTTATCAAATCAAACCACCTATAAAACTATCCTAATTTCCGAATTGAGCTCATTTGATCCCAAGGGAGTCGTTAGAAGTGTTCAAAAGTACGGGGGAAAAAAAGATGGTACCTATAATTTATTTTATTAGCAAGTCTATACTATCAACCATGTTACACTTAAATCAGGATCTATAATTTCGGGGAAAATTTGACAAATATAAAATATAAATAATAGTTAGTAAACTATGACCATTTTTTTTTTTTTTTTGTATATGCCTTCTTAGATTTCGAGCTAAGATAAAAATGTATTGGTTTTCCTATAATAGTGTAATGAGTTTTTTGTTTTTATTTTGTAGCTACGTGTGTAAACGACGTTTTTAACAGAAATCTTGCCCCATTCAAAAACGTTATTGCTAACTTTCTTGCACCTACTTGGTGCATGGCAGAGGTAATTTTTTTGATATTCCTTGCAGTTGTTTTAACAAATGAAAAAAAACTATTGTACAATTTGTATTAATTTCGTGTTATCCTGTCAGCTCATAATAAATGGGAAAAACGAGAAAATAGATACACGACATTAAACAGATATTATTAAAACAAAATATTCAATGCACATATTATGTAATTATTTTTCACCATATGACATATATACTGTTGAAAAAGCATACTATATACCGAACTCCGCTCAGGATCGTTTTTTTGTTAGAAATGGTTAGTCATTGCGTACAGATACAAACATTGAATTCCCCTTCTACCGTCCCATCATCTTCACGTCTAAAACAGTGGCCTACTAAACACCACCCACCACGTGCGAAGTATGTCGGTTTTTTTTTTTTTTTTTTTTTTCACTACCACGAACTAACGAATTCTAGACGAAACAATGACGAGCGGCGCTTGCCCGCGCTTGTGCATAACAAACGTTAAAACCGCACGCTGTTATTATAATATCAGGGCAGAGTGCACGACCGCGGCCGCGGTATAGCCGGTTAGGACCGCGAAAATATGCGCCCCCGTTAAAATATAATAGTAATATAATATTAAATACCGCCCCGCGTCATATAACAATACTTTATACGCAATACGTTGACGGGAAAACTTGACCCTTTGTGATCGGCCACGGAGGAGGCGGCGCGAATCCGCGGTGATTTACCGTCGTCGAGCGTGCGTGTGTGTGTGTATATATATATATATATACATAATATATGCTATGTATAGTATGATAATATAATATAAATTGGCCGGGAAACTTTTGGCACCGTGGACCGAATTTTATTTCGATATGTATGTATATACACCCGCAGTGCATGCCGATGCCGCCCTTCGCTTTCTGCAGTTTTCCGCCGGGGCTTTCCATACACACCCTCACGGCGTACAATATATACGTCTCACATACACCGTACCCGGTATACACACACGCGCGCGCGCACACACGCACACACCCACACGCACACACCCACACCCACACACACACAAACGCGCGCACACACACACAGACGGTGCGCCATAAAACATCGCGATACTTAACGGAATTCCGAGCGGTGATGGTATTGCGTTTAACCCGGCCGTCGCCGTCGTCGAAAAACTTCGTCTATATTATTATAATAATAAAATAACCGATGCGGATTTCGTGAATTCGAATTAAAAAACGGATAAGAAGACAATAGCCCGGAGGAGCCAAAGAAAGAAATACAATCACGCCAATAACACGGAATCAACAGAAAATTTAATAATCGAGTGCAAACAATAATATATCTACATTTTTACTACAGTTTATTTGACACGTTTATGTATCGTCATAACATTATATTATGTGCTTACAAGTAGGGCAAATGTTTGTAAGCGTTTGCCTATTTTTATCGGTTGGTCAGGAAAATAGCTATAGTTTACGAAAATGTTCCTCGCCTAACGGATTCTATATTCACATCTATAGAGCAACATTTTTTTAACGATTTCGTACATTTCAAAGATATTTATTCAGTATGAATAACACTATGAGGTTAAATTACAAATTGAGTATAAAAGTAACTATGCATTATACATATAATGATTACGTACAATAGTCAGGCAGCTCTAATTTTTTTGAAATGTACGTTTTTTTTTTTTGTTTTATTCAAATATTTGAAGTGTGTATCAAATTTCAAAAATCCAAACACCATAATTTATTACTCGGCAGTGATTGAACAGATTTAATAGTTAGCTGTTTCAAGTACGTCAGGTGTAGTATTTCGTGCTATAATAACGACAAAAATGTTATCAATTCAGTAATCTTATTATATAATATAATATATAATATTTGACAAATCTTTCGAATATTTTAGAAATAGTTTTAAAACATTTGTACTTGACGAACGTCAAATATTAGACTGGTTTAACGGTATGCATAAGTACGACTTATGCACTCAGCAAGAATATTAAAAACAAATTCGTTGTTACTATAAATATTATTTTAGGCGAGGTAATTTATATTATTTATTATATTTAATCAAATACAAAGGCCGAGTGTCAAAGTACCGGTCGGTTAATGAAATCTATATTATGAAGTCTGCGCGTTAGATAATATACCGTTCCGTATAGAGTGGATTAAATTTTCTCATCGTTTCATATACAATTTATGCGTTTGAAAAAAAAAAACACCGTGTATATACCGTATATAGGTATTATATTTGTCTATAATATTTATACGTACTACTGGCAGCAAGAGCAGCTTATTTTCCGTATAATATTATTTATTTTCTGTTTTTATACGAAAAAGGATTTTTAAGTTTTCATTACGAGAGAAGATTATATTATATACGAAGTTATTTCGTAAATGCGCACGTATACAACGGCTGCCCGAGGGTTGGCTATACCTTTCTTTTTATTCTGTTATATTTACGCGTAGGACAAAAGACAGCGAAATTTCGTTTTTCATGGCAGCACCGCCGTATAGGTAGGCGCATTTAATAATATTATGCTAGGTAACTTATGATTGCGTGTAAAATAAATAATTTATAGTATTAATAAACTATAGGAGCGTAGGTACGTTCCGTTTATTTTAAGCCCCCCCTTTTTTTTTAACAAATCGGGTAAAAGAAAAACACATAAAAAATAAATACTTTGAAAACTTTATACGGTTCCATACATACAAATAATAACTATATCCCTCTCGCCTATTACACGACTACTAAAAATACTTTAGATATTAAAAGAAAGAGATGAAACATAACCGGTTGGTCACATCACTGAAGAGAATATATTGTTATTTCATTATTATATTATTATGTCAATGTTATCAAACACTGTAAATTTAATGAATTGATTGATAATGCATGATAATAATTTTAAATTTCAATTAATAATAGAACATATTATCGTGAAGTGAAACTTTTTTTTTTTCGATTATTAATGAAATACATGACCTATAGTTTCTCTCTCTACGTACGATCCATAATAGTTATTTGGTCTATCGTTTATTAGTGAACGTTTCCGGAACTTTTTCAAGAAATTAATTTAATCACATCTACTGAAAAAAAATAACAGTATTATTATTATAATGTTCAGTCCCACATTAAGTCATAATTTTCATATAAAGAGTATCTGTTGTAAGGCCCTTAATGCTATCGGATTCATCAAACGTGTTCCGGCCAATTTTAGCTGGCTGTTTCGTTAAATATACTCTGCTGCGCATTCATTTGGCAAACCTTTGAGTATAGTTTAGTAATTTTGAACCCTTATACAGCAGGTAACTCAATGTAGCTTGAGAGAGATCAACAGAAATTTCTGTACTTCTTAAGTTGGATTTATTTTACAAATTGAGTGTACATCCCAAGACTATTCACCCGTTCTTAAATACATCAACTTCTACTTTTTACATATATTTTTTTTTATTTTACATTATAATAAAATATTTGTATATAAATCAGTTTTAAAAAAGACGTCATAGGATAATGAAAACGAGTGCAGCTACTTTTATAGGTAATTTAGTGTATATCCGTAAGCAACGATAAACCATTACTAACGAAAAAACGACTCTGAGCGTAGTTCAGTTGATACTGATGTTTCGTCAACAATTTATGTATCATATTATGATAAAATAACTAAATAGGCATCATATATTTTTTTTAATAGTATTTGTTTAATATTTTCCCGGTTTTCCAATATATTATCCCGATTTTTCATATTTTCTGGGAAATATCGAAAAATGACCTCCCTAAAGTACGTGCCCAGTTACATTTCCTTTCAGAAAAAGTAATATTATTTTAAATTGGAGCAAAATTGCTGGTAGAAATGTTGTACACAGAAAAAAAAAGGCCTTAATATTTTTTTATTAATACCTACATTTCGTACATTTTCCGTTTTTTCGACATTTTATCCCAGTTGATTTTTCTTAAATATTATAAAAACCATTTGAAAAATCAAATAATGACCTCCCTAAACTACTATGGAGAAACAATTTCCTTTTAGAAAATAAGATACACTTAATACATCGGAGCAAGATTTCTGGTAGAAAAGTTTGCACAACAAATCGAGGGGTATTTTTCGATTAAAGTAGTCCGAACGAGCGATAGCTAAGTCTCGAGGTACACTTATATGATTTTTTTCCCCTGTTTTAGTGAAAGGGAAAAAATAAATACAAACATGTTTTTTTCGAAACACGGGTTTGAACTCACGAGCTCTAGGATAACAATAAATTTCTTATAGTTTGCATAATATCATTTTTATTTGTCTTAAACAGGAAACCTCTAAATCCTGTCAGGAAAACGGCGAAATTGATTTTGGTTGTTTTTACTTTTTAATATACCAGTATGAAATAAAAACGGAGGTCTTCGACAATAGCTCTTTATGTATGAATTTTCTAGAGATTTTCAGGTAAAACTGTGAAAATTTTTCGCCTCTTTTTTAGTAAATTGAAATTTAAAATTCGCACAATATCAAGAAAATGTATAAATTATTTTTGGACTTGAATTTAGCCAAACAATTTGAACTAATATCTTTATTAAGAACTGTTTTTTATCATACTTTATAATGATTTATCGTTATATTCAGGATTTAAACCAAATATTATCCTATAGTAACAGATTATACCTTATGAACTTCTCACCTGAAACAGCAAACTACATCAATAAAAATAATAGCTATTTTATTATGTTATATATTATATATTAAGGGTAGTTTATACTAGGTTATAAAAATGTGAATTTTTTTTTATCGCATTATTGTTTAAAATTATTTCCGATAATATTTTATTGATATCATGACTTGAGCGAAAATTTTACTTTTCGGTTAAATTGGGTTCGACAAAAATGTTTTAAACATGAGTATTATTATATTTTAAGCTCGTTTTGAAATAGACCAAATTATACTATATACGTGAGTTGCATCATTAGTGTACAGCAGCAGATGTATCTGGAAAAATGGGTTTTTTTTTTTGTTATTCATTTATTTTCATCCCCCTCATATATATATATATATAATACCTGCTACAATCAAATAATAAAATATCGAAACCAATTATTCATTGAATACGAAAGCATGGATACGAGAAGGGGAGGGCATCGATGCTGTAAATTCATATTGATAGTTAGCAGGGAGAATATTTACAAATTGCGCATACCTTCAAATCCAAAAAAAAATATTATTATTATTATTATTATTATTAATACTATATGATTGTTTTAATGGTGCGTATTTCCTCTCTGTTTATATGACTCGTCAAAAGAAATAATATTATGTTCTCTTTTACTGTTATCGGTATATGTGTGACTATTATATAATACGTAAATATAACAATGAGATGATATTCGACTAGACGTTGAAAAAAAAAAATGATTCTTCTGATGGATGTGTCACTGTTGTAAGTGATAAATGGAGAAGGTATAAGATATAATATAGAGTAATTTAATTTAAATTCGAACGTTAAACGCTTAAAAAAAACTATTACACATAATGCCTATCTTTTTTGTTTGTTTTACTGCTACACGTACAGTTTATGATAAAACTTGTGTTAAATTTTGCTGGACCAAAACAGTTTTATCCAACAGAAAACCAAATAAAAACTAAATAAAATCTAGAAAGTTTCAATTGACAATAAAGAGCTGCTGAAAAATCGCCAGAACGTTTTGAAAACTGTACCACGCCTAGAAAGTGTAAATAAAAGAATTTGGTGACAGTTTAAGGTCTTTACGATTATTTCTCAGTAACAAAAAAAAAAAAAACCCCCGTTCTTCCAAAATTTACCGTTTTTCTCGTACGCGTATTTTCCCGTTTTTTCCTCAACTATTAAGAAAAGTACAAATAGAAAAGACCTCCCCAATGAACCGACTAGTCAAAAGCATTCTCAAAGATGACGATCGAAGAACGATTTCTGGTAGAATAGCAAAACCAATAAAACATTCTTGTCTTCATCTAGAATCTAAAAAAAATACAATGATTCTTGTTTATAACTATAATTATTATAAGTATTTAATTGTTGTAAATAAAAATAAAATAAATATTGTTGTTGATAAAGTAATTTAAACGAAAACTGACGTCCTTACACGGATTATATACATATATATATATACCTGTACAAGTATATAAAATAAATGCCTATTAATTTTAATTAAAACAAACGCGTACAATATTTAATGCGTTTTCATTTTAAGTTTCTCCAGTTCGTTGCTGGGTAGTACTTCATAATCCTTAATCGAAAATAAAACAAGTATTAAAACGATAAGAATTACAGAATTCACTTCGTCCGCGTTAGTACTCCGGAGGTTTATTAAAAATGTTTCATTTTACGGTCGGGTTTTTATTTATATTTTTTTGTACTGAGCGTGAAAAAGAGTGGGGAGACAATTTTTTAATTCACATTTTGTTTATAATATTCTATAATTCGCGAACAAGTAAGCATGTATGTTTTTATAAAAAATACATACATATTATCATGCTTGTAAAACAGGGGGTAACTGAATTCCGAATCACGTCATAGCTGTATTCAACTCGCGTCTTATCTCCTCCCTCCACCAAAACCGTACTTTTTTAAAATATATTATAACATATTGTATTTATTATAAGATTTTTAAAATTAAACTATGGATTGAAACGAATAAATTTAAAATTTTTAAAATGTCTACTAATTTATTTTTACAGCCCGTATAGATGTGAAATACTAAGCAGCATTATTCTAACGTAAGTAATTAATATGTCAGTTTTTTGTAATGTTTTATCAATAGTATAATCTCAGAAAGCATTTCTTTCACATTTTTATCTTTTGTAACATTTGCGTAACATATCAAATGTTGATTAAACAAATGTTACAACATCTTGAACAAGTTTATCAAACATATTCAAACGTATTCAAAACTATTTAATATATTAAAAAGTATAGATATGCAATGTTATTTAAAATTTAATTAATTCTGTTTATTTTATTTTATGTATATTTCTTTTAGAATTAAATTTTAAATTTTAATCACAAATTACATGATGTAACTTATTTATTCTGCACACAAGCATTGCTTAAAGAAGTGAATTAATCAAATTTGCATTTGTTTGTTTTTATATCAAATTAGTTACATAATGTAAATTTTAGTATTATAATAGTAATTAAGGAATTATCATATAAGAACTTAATATGTATGTATGTATAATTTTATTATTGTTTTTAGTTCTAATAAAAAAAAAAAAAAATTATTTTTAAATGTCGTAATTTTAGATTCTGAACGTAGCGAGGTTTTATTAAGATGTTAATTTTTTTTTTTCTAATCTGTGGACACGTTTTTTCCGTGTAGCAAATTTTCTGAAAGCTCAAATTGTCCAGATGGTACTCTAGAAATGTCTTTTTAATTTTCAATGCCATTTTCAAAAATAAAAGCATATAAGTGAGAAAAAACGTAAGAGAACGTATAATTTCATGATTTCATTATTTTATAAAAACACGAACGACGTTGTCTACCAGAAAAAATTACTTAATCGAAAAATCACAAGATATCTTTTTTGTTACGTTTTTGATTTACTTTCTTATGGTAATATCGCCAAAGCTTTTGAGCCATATTTGAGCTTTAAAGGAATTTAAATTTTTTTTTAGTTGTAATTTAAAATTTGGTTTAAATAATTATATTGGACTACCTATATGAGGTAAAATTTCCAAAATCATCGGATCACTTTTTTTTAATAATTGTTTTGAAATCGAATTTAAACGAAAATCACAAAAAAAAAAAAAGGCACTTCAAATTATGTATTACCGAAATGCGCTCGGAATTGTCATTCATCAAGCAATGGTTTATCGTTGCTTATAGATATAAATGAAATAACCATATGTATTCTACCTACTAAACTTCTTACCTACAACAGTGGCCACTTCCATCCCAAGTATCAGCTTTATTTTAAAGATTGCCTTACAAATTTGATGTTTAAACAAAAACTATTTAACCGTTTACAAAAACAAACTATATTGCATATTTATCACACTTATCTTTTATTTTTACACTTAATATTAACTTGTTTGAATAATTAATTGCACTTCTCCGAGTGGCCTACAAACATATCCATGTTGGTCATCTACAAAGTATATTTTTTATATAGTGTGATTTTATATAATTTTTTTAGGTAACGCTAAATATTTCGGTTGAATCTTCCCATTGGCTTAAAATTAATTTTTCGAAAGATTATTGAGATGACTGAAAAAATTTAATGTATATAACCCTTATGGGGCACGCATGTACAATACACTGGAAAATAATTTTTTTAAATGACACTCTGATTATTATTAAATTTTGCAAAAAAAAAAAAAAAATAAAAAAAAAATAGAGAAAAATAGAGTTTATAGTGTCTGTTACGTACCAATTATATCTTTCTTTCGCCACTTTTGACATTTTTAGTTGCACTGTCTACATGGACCAAATGGGCTTAAATTCAGACAGTATTAGAGATGATTTATATGTGGATTGATGTGATAAATATAGGGTTGATGTTCAATAAGAATTTTTTTTAAAAATTTGAACAAACCTACAGATTTATATAGATGAAATTTTGTGTAGTAATCGAAAACATAAAATTATTTGAATTTGTACACGACTGGCTATTGTGTTTTTTAAAACCAGTTTTTAAAAATATTTGACTGCATACACAAATCATGTTAGTTTTGTGTTTTAAGCTTGGTACGCAAATATGAGAATTCAGATTAATACACACTTCTAAATTGTCGGATAGAAGAATCGTTCCAGAAAAATTTAATTGATTTTCTCTTTTTGTAGGGAAATTTAAGTTTTTTGATACTGTAGAAATAAGGCGAATATATAATCAAAAATCGCTTGAATTAATAATAACAGTCTCACTTATATTGAAACTTAAAACATATTATTGTATATTAATATAGGTAAATTTTAACTTGAAATTATACAAGTGACTTGAGCGTAAAATTATTACTTCATGGACAAAACATTTGCAGCGGCAGGTAAAATGTTTTTTTTTTTTTTTTTTTAACGCCTTTGAATAATAATTATAACGTTTATGTGATTAAAAAAGTCCAATTTAAAACATGATTTAGTATTTCCGCCCCCTCCCTTCAACAAAATTAAAATAACATGACATATGAGATATGTTTTATATGTTTAGATATGTAATATTTTTATAAAATATATTTTTTTTTGTGTGTTTATGAACGAAAAAAAAAATGAAGTTTGCATACATAATATACCTGCATGTGTCATTCATATTAAAATATTTTACTATTTGAACGCCTACTAAATAATTAGTAATTGTTCCGTCTTTTTGAAAATATTAAACAAGTTTTAAATTAATCGTATTTTAATCAAATTTTGTTATTTTAATATTCTGTTAAAAAAAAGATGTTTTTCAAACAAGTGGAACCCATTATTTATTTACTATTTTTTATGACGTTTAAAATCATCGCTCTTTAAAAAAAAAAACGTTTTAGACTTTATTATATTTTAAACTGTATTCTTTATACAGGGTGTTCCACGAAAATATACCCATTGTAATATCTCTTGAGACAATAAAGATAATCAAATTCTGTTTTTATAATACACGCAGGGATAAAAACTACAAAATATTTTTACGTCAATACATTTTTTATATTTTGTTAAAAATTATATTTTATTATTTTGGAAAATGTGTAGGTTACTTTTTATAAAATTTATTATACTTCAAATTTTGATTTATCAACTTTATTTTTATTAAATTTATTATTCTTAATGATTTTTTAACATTCAAAAAATAATAATTGCAGCAGTCTGTAATTGAATTCTATTATTGAGTATTATTAGTATGGCTAGTTGAGTATACACTTTCTTCTCTGAAATTTAAAAAAAATAATTAAAAACCACAGATTTATTGAAAATAAGAGTTTATTCATCAACATTTTGAGAAGGATAAACTTTATAAAATGGCTATCTTCATATTTTTTAAAGTTCTTAAACAAAACATAAAAAATTAATTGAAATACTTATAAATAATTGTATACATTATTTCAGTGAGTAATATGAAAAAAACGGAAGTTGATTATTTGTATTATTTCCGAAGATATTACAAAGGAAATATCTTCGTGGGAAACCCTGTATATTCGTTAATTTACTTTGTCTGCAGTGAATATATAACCGTAACTATAAGGAAATTTGTTTAGTACGAACCAATAAATTGAGAAAAAAAATGCTCTCTTATCAAATCTAGACTCGATATTTGATTCTAATATCGCTGAACGATTATATAAAGATTTGAATATGCAATTTACTTAAAAGTCTTTACACAGATATAATCTTTAATTCATGATAAAAGAATAACTCCGTACAAATAATACGTTTTACAGGGGGAAGGAGGGAATTATTAATGTAAAAATAGTAATTTTATTTGTAGCAAACTGTTGTTCAAATTCAATTTTAATATGAATTCTTCCTGATTGCTTCTTCCGCATTCTTTTAGAAATTCTTGTCATCCCTGCATGATTTAATGTTCAGATTCTCACAGCGATAAATGATTTTTTCAATGACATAATATTTCGTCATAATGATAATAATGATACAAATAAAAACAATAGGATATTGATAAAACGATATCGTAGCTAACGCGATAAAAAGTTTTACGATATCAATATATCTACTCTTTCTTAAAGCCTTTTCATCCACTACCTGCCGGTCGCCGGGGGGCAAGAAGGTTTCGTCTTTTTCGATTTCAATAAAAGTTAGACATCCCATAGGGATGGACAAGACTTAAAACAAAATCTATAACCCCGAATTTCAAAACTTTCACATTATTTCATGAAAGTATAAACGAATAATGAATATATTATTTGTCTGGACGCACAAAACAGCAGTGGCGTATAGCATATGATCTCAGGGGGTATTGTCTTAAGTTCTTGAAAAATGTTTCTGAATGTTTGAGCCTCTGTACAAATTTTAATATAAGTAATTAAGGAATCACGTAGATTGTCATACTAACTTTATAAATGCGAACGTTTGTGTGTATTTGTTCGTGTGTGTTCGTGCATTTGTTTTACCACTCAGCTGAACAAATTTCCATGTAATTCAGTATATAATAATAACTATAAGTTCTGGAATTAGATATAAGACTTTTCATCCCGGATAAATGTATAGTTCCTGGAGGATAGTCAATCCGGAAAATTGTAGGTACTGAATAAAAAGCATAGCAGTTAAATAATTAGATGTAGCTGGATGAAGTGAAGGGGGAAGTGATAAGAGTGTTTTTGCGAAACAAAAAGATGAAATTAAATGATAAAATGGACATTATTGTACAAAATTGGTGTGCGTTGAATAAAATAAATGAAATACAAATAAAGTAACAGAAACGATAATGGCTATAGACGAGCATGTTTAGTGTAATCATTTAGGGTATGATCAGGAATGAAATGAAAAACAAAAGTCAACGATGAGAAGTGGGTATAAATCAGGAAAAACGAAGGCATGTATAAAATGAAATGATGGTGTATGATGATTATATCGAGATAATGTGAAAGATCAACGGCAGTGTAATGAAGAATCATAATCAAACGTCGAGACGATGGAACGCGCACGAGTGGATATAAAAAAAATGACGGGAACGATTTTTTTTTTAATGCAATTATAATGTGCAGTCTCACCTATTTTGTTATTTTACCGATTCGTAACCTTATATATCGTGTATAATTATATAGCTACAAATTGAGTGACGCCGTGATAAATTACAAAGATAAAGGAACTCGGACTATACGCGGTAGGTACTTTTTTCCGGGGAGATGGGGTCCCCGGATTCCCAAATTCCCTCCGTGCAAATACCGCGGTGGAGCGTAACGTACCTGCGTAGTGTGATATTATCGCTTGGCCAGAGAACAGCGGCGGTGGCGCGGCGTGAAAACCGAGACGAAAAATGGAGAACACGGCGGAAAAAAAAATTATATTATAATCGTTATCCTACACGGGCGAGTTCTTCCGGGCGACGAGAAACAACGACGGGGCGACCGCGAGAATACGGCAGTTATTATGATAATATAACGCCGTTACGCGGGGAGTAATTCATAGCAAAAGGGCCATTTTTTGGTTGTAATTACCGTTTTGCTTTGTGCATCCGCATTAATTGTCGTACGAAATGTATTCAGACTCCACGGCAGCGGGGCGGTGCTGTAACGGCCGCAAAAAAAAGAAAATAATAATAATAAAAACACCACCACCGCCATCGCCGGACCTAATCTAATATGTGGGTCTGGCAAAACAAGCGCGCACGCACAAGTGTTGCAGCTGTTATCAGCTCTATACTCTACGTAGTTTAAAGGTTTTACGAAACCGCCGACGTGTAATACCGAACGCGTGGTAAAAAGTTCGAGGAGAGAGGTTGTCGTAAAAAAAAAAAAATTCATAATTCGTTTGCCGACGTATTTATCAATATTAACTTTAGACGACACGGCACGAAGATATTAGTTTTATTTCTTTTGTCCAAAAGAAGATGGATTAATGTGATTTTTCGGTAATTGTCTTTTATGATTTTATCTTATGTAATTTTCATCTCTATATTTTTTGGTTTAAACGAAATAAGTGTTAAGTAAATTTAAATTTAAGTTAGCTCATAGAAACAAAAACTCCGATCCTCGAGTTTAAGCTTATTTTGATCAGAGGAAGGTCTATTTAAAGTCATCAAAAGTAGTGGGAAAAGATCGTACGTATACCATGCAATAGTCTTTATTTTTGGGGGGAAAAAAAAAAGTCTATTTTACAAGAAAAAATATTATTGTTATTTTTATATTATATATTTATTTGATTGTCAAAGCCAACGGGCCAAGTCGTGACGAGGTTTCCCTATAGTATACGAATGAATAAATTGTTGGGTTTTTGCGAAACATTATATATTTATAAGGATTTAATAATTTCCCAGAGAAGAACTCATCTGAAAAACATACGATATGATGCTGTTTAAGATTGACACGCAGTAAACCCACCAAAAATAAACATGACCGAAACATTTCGTCTGTAGTCGAATTGAATGGTAATGGAATGAAAATCCGTTAACGAGCAAAGTTTTCATAGACTACCGAACTATAACCGAGCTATCAATTCGTGTGTCGCGCAGAGTTAACCTTATATAATATACCGAACAGATGTTCGAAGATGACAACCGTTGATTTATTAAAACCGCAAAACTTTTTGTTACTTTTACAAAACACTACCTATCAGATGTCATCATCACGGAATTCGACAATTCGCGTATTCGGTGTTTTCCCCATCGATTCCACACCGCAAACTCCGAATTGACGATTTATAATATTTTGGGTTTAAAACGCATCCGAATAAGAATCACATTAAAAACAAATGTATAAAATAAAATCGATTTCAAATATAAGAGAGGAGTTGGGTCTGCAATAAATCGAAGCCAAACATAAAAATTACGGTTTCTTAACCGATTATTTATTATACGAAATATATCTATATTGAATGAAATCAATCTAATCGTTGATAGTAGCGTGCATATAAAAAGGAGAGTACCTAATCTTCCGTCCATTTGATAACTATTAATTAAAAAACATATTAAAAAAAAAAAAAAAAAACGTTTTCTCTTAATTAATTAAATTATAAAAGTAAGGTTGATTGTTGGTTTAATTGTTTATTATTATGCTGCAGAGTACGGAGTTTGTAGCACTGAAAAAACCAAAGAAAAATTATATGAAATAAAGCTGAAAATCCATTTAAAAAGATCTATATCAAATTGGATATTTTTAAAAGTGTTTCAATTTTATTATATGTTAGGAATTCTTTAGATCTAGGGCTTAAGTCAATTGTGGTTAGTGTTCAATACTATCAAATTCAATTTTAAAAATACATACAATGAAGTAATTTAAACCAACATATATATAATATAATTATAAATAAATACATAATTGATGTAAGCCCTAATTCTCTGGGATCAATGAATCATTTAGATACTTTGTTTATTAGATAATTAGAGTACGATTTTCAAAGCACTAAAACTATAACAATAGTTCTAGATATTTTTTAAGTTTTGAAATAAATGGTGCGCACTAAAATTGGTTATAGCTGTTATAAAGCATTACCTACAAATAATAAATCACCTATACCACCAAAATATGGTAAATTAAACAACACCCCTACTAATATTAATTTTATAATAGACCAAGTATTTATGGATTTTATGTCATATGTAGATTTTGTCATTGCCACGATTATTTTTATTTAACTATATAATATTATTATGTTCAACTTTACAATATAATTTTTATTACATTTCAGTAAAAAATAATACAAATTATGAACTTGAAACTGCTAACTACATGGTTATTATATGAAATACCTATTGTAAAAAATTTACCTATGTCAGCCATATTGCGAGAACATAAAAATATACAGGTCTAATATAGAAATGACTTAAGAAATTCATCCTGTTATAGCTATAATGAGGATATCCTCAACAATATGTTGTACACGTATTATGACTCAAATAATGAAGTACACGAATACGTAAATAAAGTATATAAAGACTTAAAGGATTACCTATATTAAGCTACAACTGCAAAAGGAGGCGTAGAGATGGCTGCAACAAACTATATAATACACAAGGACCACTGGCGATAATCCTTACAGATTATATGAATCATTTTAAAAAGAAAAATACAAAATTGATATGGGTATCATAATACTAATAACCATTATGTATATCGTATGCGATCTAATAGTATATGGATAATTGTGAAACGATATGCATTCTGTGCATTCAATTTTACAGTAAGTGTGTATTATATACCTACTATATATGTGTACAAATTCTTCAGACTTTTTTTTTACTGACTGACTGATTTATCAACGTACAGCCTAAACCACTCGTATTTATTTAATATTGTTCCGATTTTCCTGTTTTCCCGGTTTTTCCATGTCTTTTATTGGTTTTTCACATTTGATAGGAAAACTCTTGGGAAAATTAAAAAAAATTACTTCCTTTTCTAGGTACCTTTTCAGTCAGATTTCCTTTCAGAGAAAGTGTTACTATTGTAAATGAGAGCAAAATTGCTAGTAAAAAATTTGTTTACAGGAAAAACAAAAGTCGAAAATTTTTCAACAAATACCTACTTTCATTTTCCCGTTTTTTCGCATTTATTAAGAAACCTCCCGAGTAAATCAAAAAATAACTTCCCCATAGTACCTCCCCAGTTTTCTTTTCTTAAAGGAAAAGTGCTACACATAAAAATTGGAGCATGATTTCTGACAGAAAAGTTGTCCGCAAAAAAAATAATAAATAAATATCTTTGTAAAACCATAAGCTTCTTCGCTCTACTCAGAATCTAAAACTCTAAATGCTTAAAGAGATTTTTGTCTTTCTTAAACAATTTGCACATGTCCTTTTTGTATTTAACGATTCATAAAAGGTGACCAATTATTAATCCAAAACCGCACCGCATCAGCAATATGTATAATATTATGTAGGCAGGGGTTTCGGGGGTTATAATATATAACGACGACGGCGTGGAATAATAATTATAACATTGTTGTCTAATTTCCCTGTCCCGCGGGCTCCGGTCCGGATTTTCCGCAGCGCACTACAGATTTACATGGATTGTGACGGTTTTATAATAATAATAATAATAACAACAACGACGTCGACGGCGATGCGAAGGGCTATTGAAATATTAGTAAAGTGCTGTGGCCGTATTGAAACCCGAAACGTATATATTATTATTATTATTACGACTGGTTACCATGGTAACCGCGTGGCATACACTAATGTGCGCACGACGCTCGCTCAACAATAACGCTCCTCAGAAAAGCCCAAAAGGACATAATATATTATTATTATTATTATTATAATATATACAAACGGTTTTACCCGTGCAAGGTATTAAATAGAGAAAAACATTTAAAAAAATACAAGGTTCAAAATACCTCTTTATGACTTTCCGTTTTCACCACCTCCACTTGTTTCTATCACGGTTGACCACATTGTTCAACGGTAATTTATTCATTACAGCGGCTAATTTTGGCGCCCGTCACAGTCAATATGTAAGTGTGTTGGAAATGGTTTTCCAAAATTTTCGACAATTTAATAAAAAAAAGACCACAACAATGATTGGACTTTTCCACTAACGTACGGCCTGATACCTACTTAAAGAGAAAAGGTGTGGCTAGTTTTACGGACGAACGTAACGTTTTAGACCAATACGCGGAAGTAAAATTCATTCACTACGGCTCGCACAATTTTAATTTTAATAACACACTTAGAAGTCTTTGAATTTTTGTCTTATCTGTTGTTTGGTTTTTTAATTTAGATGACTTAGTAAAAGAATATGATGAATTTATCTTCCTTTCTGAAATTGTATCACAAAAAAATAAACAAAAATAAAAATATTGTTCTTCCTAAACATAGAAAATAACAACCTAACCTAATCTATATGAAGTTAAATAATATTTCATAACAGAAATCGGCAACTGGAAGTATGTTATTTTTACTTCGACTTATTGACTATAGGCGCCTGTGTCATCGAGGTGATCCATACATTGACAATAAGTATTTAATAAGTTGACTCCTTTTTGAAATTTTTAAATAAATACAAATTTGTTGTTAACTCGAAAATTTTACTCAAAGTTCTTGTAATAATAAGGGTAGCATTTTGAAAATGTATTGTGAGTAAAGTTATTACGATTCGATAATTTCTGGGAGCGAAAAAACCCCCAGATCGAATTTACTCAAAATCTTCGTAGATATGCATTAGCTGCAGGTTCATGATGAGATAAAATAATTATTGCGAGATACTACACTCGTATAATACTATCTTTCGGAGTTTTTGCCATTTCGTTTCTCGTAGGTATATGGCTGAAATAAAAATAATCTCATCGTTCTATATTACACCGTCGTCGTCTTCGTAGCTACGCGATTAAATGGGACTTTTTTAATGGGTATTGTACAAAACAATTTAGGCCGTTCTTTTAAGAATCCTGCATATCCATATATCCGTACTACATTTTTCACGGATTACCCGTAGCCATATTATACCGAAATTTTGGCACAATAACGTAAAAGCCTCCCAAAATAGCCTACCCTGCTTAAACATTGTTCCCATAGGTTCCTCATTATGTTTCTACTTTATTTGTTTTTATACAAAACGACTATATTATTATAATTAGAATTGAAATTAGTGACTACATTTTTTATTTTATTATTGTCCACACTATTGTACTATATACTATATAGGTAATATAAACATGACGATTATTTGGTCATAAACCAACAATTTACCCGGAGGATTTTCAGAGAATTAGGTTTTTGTTTTGTTTTTTTTAGTTTTTATGGAATCATTTAATCTTTATTTTGACACTATTTTAAATATTTTAACCCTACTCCTTGTATCTGAAACAAATATTTACTTTGGATTTTTAATAACAATAGCGTCCATTTCAATCGCAGATTCAATTATTTATTAAAGAATTATCAATTTATCATATAAAAAAATAGATTTTCAATTTATCGCCCTTATTCCCTACTCCTCCGACCTTAATTATAGGTTGTTATAACTCATAAACGGTATGTCTGATATTAATGTAATGCGCATATCAACATTTCTAGAAACATAATGTTTATTTAAATTTGTTCTCGAAAGACCGGATTTCTATTTAAAAATCCAAAGTAGATACTTATTTTAAGTATAATAGTAGCAGAGGAAACAATTTAAAGTAGTTAATTTAACTGTGCATATGCTAATTAAGTTGACAAAGTCGAATTTATTCAATGAAATATTATACAGCCGTAACAATTTTTCTAAATCGGGCAATATATAACAAAAACGTATTCAAGCAAAATAAAATAAAAGGGCTTTAAAATCGGTTTCAGAGATAGAACACCCATAACACAATATTTGTATATGACAACATTTTAAAGACAACTTTGTCAGCATTTAATAATAAGTTTAACTAATCAACTCATTATCGAAGGTACCAAAATCGTATTTTGTTTTATCAAATAACTTTTTGTAACTTTTGAAATGATTAATTATTTCGAGAAACGCCGATCAGGTCGTCTTTAAAATTTTATCGCCTACTCATGTCTTTATAGTTCTATACACGAATCATACTTTCTAACTTAAATAGTTGATTCCCCACTATTGATTTTATAAGTGAAACTAAATGAAAAACGTATCTAGGTGCATATACTTAAATTTTATTATTTTGTTATCGTTTATTGTTATTTTGTCTATCTTTTAACCTACACGGATAATAATAATTTATATTTATATCTTTTGACAATAATTTTATGCGAAGTCATGAATCAGTTTTTATAGCATTTTATTTAAGGCCTGACCATCAACGTGCTACCTACGGATATAATATTTTTACATCAATTTCATCATTTATACTTTGGTAAAATTATTATTATCGACACTAATATATTATAATAAGAATATTATTATGTTTATTGATTTCGAGCGGAGTGGGGAATTTATCGGTTTTATATTTAAGGCGTACAGTTAATTTTGACGTCTCAAAAAGAAATTTAAATATTTTTGAACAACTTTTTATTTAAATAACTTCATTGTAACAGTACAGCAAGAATCGACTCTTGTTTACGTCACAATTTCTGTTACCTACCGCACACTATATAAACAAAAACTTAAGTCTTAAAATGTTTCCCCCTTGTTTTTTCCAAAAAAACCTCCGCTACAACGAAATACGTGTTTTATTTTTATTATATATATATATCTGTACGCGTATCTATTTCTGCAACCATAAACCGACGCGTTTATATTTTTACGTTTTACACATTATTTCGGAAAAATACATATTTATATCATCACTTAAAATGTTATCATATTTCGATTGTTTGCTTGCATTTCATTACATTCTTAAATGTCGGTTATAATTCTTGTCGACAAAGACTATGTAATAGGACATAGATACATGATGATTTGACCTAGGATAAATGGACGTGGTCGTTTGGACGTCATAAAAAAAATACAAATGTTAGCAAAAATAATTAATATTAAAAGTTCCATTTATTTATTAAAATAGGCCTAAAAATGTTTTTTTTTTTTTTAAAAAAAACAACAATTACTCATTAAATTCAAAAGTTACGGTTAAGTTAAGGTACATAGTTCTTGTTTTTAAAGATCACAAACAAATACATAAGATTCACTTGAAATCATGTGCAATATTACTGTTATAAGTATAGCTCATTTTTAGAAATCTGTAAAAATTCGTAGATGACTGTTTATTTTTTAAATTTTTAACTCATTGTAGTCTATGAGCTGATCTATAATCAAGGACCAAACACAAGAAACTTACAAAATTAATCTTGTTTGAACATTTTTTGGTCAAAAAGTAGCTGAGGTACACAACTTTATATTATGTAAAAAAAAGTTATAAAAACTCAATTTTTATAGATTTCTATAAATGAGTTATTCTTATAACAGAAAATTTCGGTTGATTCCAAGTGATTCGTATGCATTTTTTTGTGATGTGTAAGAAAAGCTATGTATAACCTTGTAACTTTCGAACTAAATAATTAAATTATAATTTAACTGAAAGTATCGTTGCTCTCTTATGTTATTTTAATGGAAAAACTAAATAGGCGATGCGCAAGTTATAATTTTTTTTTATTTTGGGTAAGTTTATGACCACAAAAAAGCATTTTCTAAGTCTTAATTCGAAAAAAATAAGTTAAAAATCAAAACAGTTTAGTACAGAATATTGGTTTTACAATTTATTAATAAACTTTAGAACTAAAATTAAATTTGTATACGTGGAAGTTGATATTAAACTTTTATTTTCCGCTCAAAATAGTTTTTATTTTTTCTTATAACGATTTGCGTAGAATTCAATATTAACAGCAGTCTACGTTGTGTGTTATGCCTATTTCATGTATTACATTACGAACAAGAAAAATGAAAAAAATATATCGAACATTAGAAGAAACAATACGAACAGTTTTATAAAAAGCTAATTATAAAAGTTTCCAAGCCGAGTTTAAACACGGGGACAGAAATAATTCGAACATTTTTTACAAATTAATAGATTAGTAAAACTAATAATAATATAGTTTTCACATGAAAACTATATGATTTCTTGCAATACATTCAGGAACAAAAAAAAAAAAAAAAAAAAAAAAATTGTACCTGGTAATTTTGTACAAATTATTAATTCGAATGAGTTTTACTATCTACTATAATACATTGAGTGATCGGTGATTCGTTAATATTTTAGAAATAATAGTTCCCTTGTTTTGGACCGCGGGGATATTAAATCATATTTATTCACCATATACAGTACAAGTATACCCAATACACGGTTATTAATCCGCAGTTGTGTTTTCATATATTGATTTACATTACACTGGTGTTATACTAGAAGATATCATTATTATTATTGTTATGCTAAATCGTAAAGCTTTAAATGGCGTTTTATAATCACTTGTATATGCACTCGTGTTAATTCAGATTTTAGTTATTAAATAATGTGATTAGTGTTATTAAACTTATATACAATTATTATTATTGTCCGTACGTACTCGGAAAATAATTATTAACCTAGAGCAATATATGCTAACAATTTGATTGCTATTTTCACGGTGTAAAGGTACGGCTGCTATAGTATAATATTTTACATGACGCGGTTTTCAGTTCAAAGGACAGCTGACGATATTATAATAACCGAACAATTCTCGTGCGATTTTAATGATACAATAATGTCGTTACAGAGACGTATTCAGGAGGGTTCTAAGGGGGCTATAGCCTCTCCCGCGGGTCATGTTCTTATACGCATAGTATTTTACGATTCGAGTGTTAACTATGTTTTCAGTTATTTCTTTCATTCCTAAAAGAACGTTTTATTGACTGGACCGTATAGAAACGATTTAAACGGGAACGAACATTACGCCAGAAAACAGATTCAATTGGTTAGCCATGGTTAATATAAATTGAAAAAAAAAGAAGATATAATTAAGTAAATTGTATAATCACTGCTTTTGCTCGAAGTCGACTAGGAATATATGGCTGTTAATGCAGGCGGTGCGAAGTATAGTTACAAATTTCACCAGCCAAGACATGCATAGGTATATTTTATTCTTATTTTACTACGTATTCTGAAAGAAATTCCGTATAGAGAGGTCATTTTTTGATTTTCTCAAGAGTTTTCCCAGAAAATATGAAAAATCGGGATAATATATGAGAAAACCGGGAAAAACGTAGGAAAACTGGGAACATCGGTACAACATTAAACAAATATTATTAAAGAAAATATCTAACGCCTATTTAATTATTTCACTTTAATATGACATATATATTGTTGACAAGGCATCACTATCAACTGAACTCTGCTCAGAATCGTTTTTTCATAAGCAATAGTTTATCGTTGCTTACAGATATACATTAAATTATCTATAACAATAGCTGCACCCGTCCCCATTATGTAAGATCGTCTTTTTAATGTTAAAGTTTGAGTTCGATAAAATATTTTAATAGTTTGGTTCGGTTCGGGTTCGAATAAAAAAGTACAGGTTTGGTTCTATTCGGGTTCGTTAATTTTAAGGAAAATTCGATTTAGTTTTGTTCGACCTAAAAAAAAAAGTGTTCGTAACATCTTCAGTATTTTGTTAATTTTTAAACCAATCTATCGATAATCGAGTATTAGTACCCGATATCGAATTTTTAACTGTTGGTATCTAATTGACTAATGTATTTTATTTACACAAAAATAAATGTTTTTTCATACATTTATAATTCGACTGATAATTTGTACGATATGTATTTGCTTACATAACAGCAAAGTAAATATATCACTGTGCGTCAATTAAGTTCATCATTTTAATAATAAAATTACGATGTTGTTTATCCTCTAGGAATATTATATCGACGAACGAAAAGGTCGTAACACTTTATCCAACTTTAAACCTCTCACCAAATCACCTGCCGCAACGAAAATGATCGATATCTCACATTTTCCAGCTCCTAACATAATCTATTTGGGTGAGTGGAGGTATATTTTAGTGGGCAATGCTAAAATAAGATTTGACCTTTAATATACGCCTTGAATTGAGATATGACCTTTTTCACTGGGGCAGGCAATATATATATATATAGTAAATATAATGTAAATATTTCAACTCATTCAATTGTACCGAATATCCATATTATTTTGTTAGTTTATAAAACACAGAAATTGATATTTATTGTAGTATAATTATTATACATTATCTGTAAATATAACGTGACTACGTGAGTGATATATTTTTTATTTTTTTAAAAATATTTTTGAATGTTATTATAAAAAAAAAAAAAAAAAGGTTTTAACACACCTATATAGTGTATATATAGTAGGTATGGTAATTTAAAAGGTTTCCGACAATAGGTATACAATCAATCACATAAAATAATATTAATGGATAGTACATATTTACATTATTGTTATCCTTTTTTTTTTATTATTTTATTTATAATATATAATTATGTTTTTTTCTGTCGATTTTTGTCTTTAAAAATGTGTATTATAATGTTTCTAACTTGTTGCGGGTTTCATATTTAACACTAAAATAATGATAACTAACTTATACAAATATAACATGTTTTATAAACACATTTTAAATAAGTTTATCAGTTTATCTATTCGCATATTTTGAATGAAATTCCTGAAAAAATTAAAATTTCATGTATCAAAAATATTCGAATTCATTTTCAAATATATTTACGAATTATAAAAAAAAAAAACATTCGGGCTAATTTCAATAAAATTAAAAGGCTAACATTTTCACCGTAAAAACCAGGAGACATGTACCAACGTTATTATATTTACTATACTGAAAACGTAATTCAGGTTTGAATGATCTGATATTAAATACATGTGATTTTGGTAAACGGGTCAATATTTTCTTTTTCAAATAACATTGTTAATTTTACATCATTGTAGATGTAAAACTTAATATTTTAACTGGCAGATTAACAAAAAATCACGAGAAAAATATTCGAGGAAATGTTAAAATTAACCTCAAAACACCGACAAGGACCATCGCGAAATATATAAGAAGTCTGAATCACCTAACAATTAAATATTTTATAAAATACCAAATTTACGATTTCTATTAAAATTTGAAATTCAAAAACTTATAAAAAATAAATTAAATCGAAATTGCTAATTGTCCATATTTTTATAATGCTATCATAAAATTACTTAATGATGACCTTTGTCTCATACTGGAAGTGCGTAAAAAAGCCGTAAAAATTTCAGCCAAACCGAAATTTAGCCGGCAAATATTTAATCCGAAACATGTTTTATACGAACCGTATTTAAGCTGACAGTATTTTATCCGACCCGTATTTCAGCCGACAAATCTCCATCCACTACAACTAACGCTATCACACAACCGGTGTGCGCATTCACCACCAAGGCGCTCTGCTATACCCCATCTGCAGTCTACACGCGCAATTACCGACGCTACTGGTTTTTGTTGTAGTATTCGTTATAGTGGAGGGGATTTGTCGGCTTGAATACGGTTTGGATAGAATATTGTTGAATAAAATACCGTCGGCCATATTTTCGGCTAAAATTTAGCCTCAATATCAAATGTTCAAATATTTTTGATAGATCAAACAAATGTTATTCACAAAAAATCAGAAAACAACAACAAAAAAAAAAAAAAAATCGTTATTTACTGTGTTTACGAATTATTAAGAAAACCAAAAGGAAAAATCAAAAAATTACTTTCTAAATGTACCAACACTACAAAATGTGTCACTATAAATCGTCTTTAAAGTTATTATTCAGAGTAAGATTTTCGGTAGTTTGTTCACGGCACGTAAAAAATTATAATAATACAAATTGCATCATAGTAAAACCAGCCCCTAAATTTTTTATTACGTTCAAAATCTGAAATATGTATGATATCTTTTCCCATAAATTTTTGTGCAACAAATAAATACTTTAAATTAAGTTCTAATTTTGTCTTTATACTCCAATTAAATTTAGTATCATAAATAACTATAGAAATGTATTAGTATAAAATTCTTGATTAAATTGTTTAAACCGATTTGTAAGTTTTTATTATTATTATTATTTTTTTTTTTTTTTTTCATAAAACGGCTTAATACTTCTTTATAAATAAAATAAAATGTACGGGAGACTAAAGTGTAATATTTTCTCGTTTAAGTATAACTTATATGGGTAAATAGTTTTAAATAATTTAGATTTATTTTCAAAAAGATAGACACCTATAAAACTTAAACTTTGTTCGGCCCTTTTTATATGCGAAGTTTAAACGCGTGGTCGGTCGTATTAATAAAAAATTATTCTCCATTACACATACTAATAATAAATTATTGTATGGGCTGGGTATTTTTTTAGTTTATTGTGCGGTGATAATTTATACTATTACCATTTATTATTAGGTACTCTATAACGCTGTACATTTAATGCAAACAAATATCTATTATGTACATTGTGCATATTCATAACATCGTAAATATGCAATTTGAACATGTATTTTATGCAGTTATCCAGAAATATGCAAAAACAAAAATGTCCCTCATATTGGCTGTACGTGTCAGTGTGAGTATGAAACGTCGATGTATAGAACTAAAATAATAATTTGAAAAGAAGGGTACAGAAATATGAATTTTTATACAATTTTTTTATGAAGGGAGGTTGGGAAAATAGGATACATAAAGTTATTTAATTTGCATCTCTAAGCAACGATAAACAATATTGATATCAATATCAATATCGATTTTAAACGAAGTTCGTTTGTAAAATATTTGTAAATTCGTAATATTTACGACTTTCATCAGAATTTGATCTTAAAAACAATTACACTCTTCTTTTCTTTTTACCACTCAGTAAAACGCATAACGTATACAAAATTAATGAACCTCGTATTAAATTGTCTAGAATTTCGGGTCAAATAATGGTATCCACAGAGTATTTATGAAATAAAAACTACGTAAAACACTCGCAAATAAAAATTATCTACACAATTGAATCATAACACAGTTATTGTATCAATTTTAATTTTTTGTCTTTTTCTGGTTTTTCCGAATTATTATGAAAAGTACCTGTACAGTTAAAAAAACGACCAACTAGATTAAAAGTTCAATAAAAAAAGTCTCTAGACATTTTTCGATCAAAGTAATATTTCTGGGTGAAAGCATTGTATGTGAAAATTAAAAACAATGGAATTGTAACACTACTGCCGCACATTAAATTTTTGACACATAGTAAACTTTATTAATATCCCGTTTACATACATTTTTTTTATTAAACATTAATTCATATTCATTAACTAACAACATGTTTTTCTGATATATAATAGATATTTCTTTTTAATAAACGTCGACACTCTGATATACTAGTTTTCCAGTATCACCACTATTTTGTTCGTCATTTGTTTGTATTTGTTATTGATGCGTTTCACAATTTTTTTGGAATTCCTACGATATTTATTACTAGTGGTCTACACGAGTAATGAACTTAACGGTTACGGGTACACGAGTTTTTACATGTAATGGTGTTGAGGTTCGCGTAATAAAAATACACGTGAATAATCGTGTATTTTTTTACCGATGCGTGTATTTTTCGGAAGTGAAAAGGTGTCGTACAAATCACGATATTTCGCGTATTCTGGTAGTTGTTCGGAGCGGTGTGATGGTCGCACCCACCAATCTATAAGTTTTCGAACTGTTTAAAGACATTTGAAATTGTCTAGTTGTTTTGGTTCTTATTTTATTTTTAATTTAACTGAATCGTAAAAAAAAAAAAAAATAATAATTTTTTGAATAACCGAGTACGTTTTACATTACGGAATACATTAAGTAATACGCAATTGTTCTAGTTTTTCCGTTTTTCCTTAATTATTAAGAAAACTCCAAAAATAAAAAAAAAATTAAAGAAATAAACATTTAGAAAAGACGCAACAACACTAGACCTATTCCTAAACCTATTCTGCTCTTAATATTTTGAACACATTACATGTTTTCATAGGTACCTAACCATTTTGTCTGATGCTGAATTTATCTATATACCTACGTTTAATCGTGGTACCTGATATCTACCTTCTCATTTTGTATTCCAAACGCGCAAAAATGAATTCAATTTAATATTCTATATACTTGCAAAATATTACATTATAATGTTCATAACTGTATTATTACACTATTCAATTACTGTATTAATTACATAATATATGGAGATAAATAAAATAATAATAGAGTACGCTATTTATAGTTAGTATACAACTGTTACAGTGTTGTATAATCACTCAGGTACCTAATTGTATGCCTTTTAGATTTTAACAATTTACGAAAGTATGATAACGAACAGTTATCTCAAAGTAGAATTCAACAAAATATTTTCGAAAAAAACCAGATTAAAATATAATTTTATCAGCTATTATGATACGGTTTAGCACAATTAGTTTTCGATTATTCTTTTAAAAACAAAATATATTAGACCAGAGTAGATTTCCAGGGAACTAAATCTACTGGCAACGTTTCCCGGTATAAGAAAAATAGGGTTTTTCGCTCAATCAGGGTATTGTCAAAAAGGTCGCGTTCAATTTAGGACATATTACCGATTCTATCAAGCGTTCGTAATAAATAATAAACTCGTATATATATATATATATATATATATATATAATATGGTATTTTCAGGTGGCTTACGATACCAGTTTTTTTACGATAAAATAAAAAAGTCCATTACGGAAAACCTCAAGTCCGTAACCAGTATACGATGACCAATATTATATGATTGCGGGTATACTCGTATAATACTCGAATCTGTGTTTCTAGTTATCAGCCGTTTCCGACGAGTAAATATCATCTGTTTAATGTGAACATTTAATTTTTTCCTCATGTGAAGTATAGAAATTCGTCTCTATTTTTCATTGGCCTGACTCTGTATTATTGTTCTCATTACGAACGCAAAAATGCATTAGACGACCGCGGTATTTTTTTCCGAAATCAAAACGCGAGAAATCTTTGAAAGCAGAATGGGGAAAGTAATAACAGGCCATCAATGTTTACTAATAAATCGAACAATAAAAAACCAGTCAAAAATCTTGAACCGCATTTTGGGATTTAACAAGGCAAAAATCTGGCACGAAAAGTGCAAATCATTATGAGAAATAAAATCCTAATTGAAACACCTGCAGGAATAGCCTTATCTGTTATCCAACTAACCACGAGAAAACGAGAAATGTTAAGCTGATTTCTTACAAACCAAATCAAACTTATTATAATATAATATGCAACATACACAATACATAGCAATAGTCCGTCACTTTTTTGGGAAAAATTCGACAACAAAAATGCAAGCAGGTCAGACAACATAACATTATTATACGCAGGTAAACCATAGACATCAGTGGCAATATATATATATACATATCAAGGGCGTTATATTCTCCAGTCACTACTACAACGTTTTCATTAAAAACTTTGTTTGCCAGTAACCGGCCTGAGATTACGCTAAAGAGCTTTAGGTTTTCGTATAGTGAGTATAAATCGTCTCTAATGCACGGTGTACATATATATTTTTATATAACTTTACGGCATGAAAAAAAAAAAAGATAAAAATAAAAAATTCCAATCGTAATTTAGTTGGCAGTTTCGAAAACAATTTTATGTGGGGTCGCGCGTGACAGCGGAACACGATCATTTGGCGATTTGAGCTTTTTATTTCGATCGACTATATTATTATTATACAGGATAGTCCTTGATTTTTGTTTTGTTTAGGTTTTTTTTTTTTTTTTTTTTTTTACGATTTCTCGCGTAAGAATAATAGTGTCGAAACATTGCGAACCAGGCGCCCTGTGTATTATATTGGACATAGGGGACGTATACCGACGAGATCCGTATAATTTTTCTTCCGCTTCCTCTCTCATCTATATATATTCACTTCATATTTCACACTCACTCTATATTATATTTTCTTGGAGTAAATGAATTATGTTTTTTTTTTTTTCTCTTTTTTTAATATACGTATACGGTGCGTATAATAGCAGCTAGTGTGTAATCTTTTACGGGCGATCTCGCTGCTACAGTTTGAGATTCATTTATGCGTCTCGTATAATATATATATATATATTCTATTTAGGGTTAACTAAATCCTATAGCGGAAACCGTTCCGAGAGAGACCGGTGACTCGTACAGTGTTCGGGACGTTTATGCGAATCACGAGTTCCATTTTATACGTGTGAGACACCGTGACCCACCAATATATTATATACAGAGTGTTATAAATAACGATTATACCACCGCCGTCACTAGGGTATAATCAAACTCGTAGTGAACTGTTTTCGTTCTGCTGCTTCCAAAATCTGAATGTATTTTTACATATTTAGATTCTGAATGTAGAAAAGAAGATACTACCAAAATGTGTTTTATCGATTAGTATCGATTAGTAAAAATGATCCCATATTTTCATGTCACACCTTAAAAATGTGGATTTTATGACTATTAGTACTTTATTTAAACATTTTCCGAAATTACTAATACTTTTTCCAAAATTTTTTTTTTTTTTAAGCACTTTAAGTTCAGTAAAAAGTCTAACTGTTTCACGCATTACATTAAAAGATTCGGATTTCTCACTCGGTGATAATCTATTTGAAACATTTTTTTAAATTTTTAAGTTTTTATTTTGGTTTTCTCTCGAGAAACACTTTTGAGGTTAGTAAAAACTAAGAAGGCTCCAGGTTACATCCGTTATACCTTACAAGTAATAATAATCTGAACACGGATTTTGATCTTAAATTTTATTTAAAAAAAAATGTTTGTTGATTTCTGGATTACCTTGACTACGGTGAAAAACACATGTTATTCTATTAATACTACTCCACTCAGAATCGTTTTGATGTATCGTTCTATATGTGTACACCGGTCTGTATATCTTAACTTTTTAACTACTTATCATCAATAGTGTCCTATTTTTTGAGAAGTTTTTTATTTTTAGTCATATGTATACAATCTCTATAAAATAAAAAATATTCCACGATATTTTCTGGATAAAATCCTCGTACTTCGCATCAATTTATACGACTTTTATGCGCACTTTATGTCATCGAAATGAAAAAAGTAATAAGGAGTGTTGTGTGGAAATATCACGCACGGATTTATTTAGTAAATTTGTGCGAGTATTATGCAAAGAATGAATGTAAATAAAAAGACTGCATGCGTTAAAGATACACAAATGAATTCAAATATTTCGTTGTTGAGTTATCTTTAGAGGTACCTATGATATCAATGAGTATGATAGTATTATTATCTGTATATATATATATATTTATAATAAAATGTCCTTACTGACTGACTGATTCATCATTGCACAACCCGAACCATTGAACGTATCGGGCTAAAGTTTGACACAGAGATAGCTATTATGGTGTAGGAATCCGCTAAAAATAGGATTTTTCAAAATTCAACACATAAGGGTTACCCCCAAATGATAATTTGATTGTTACGGACAAGAAATTGATTATTATTACTATTGTTTACCTTAATATCTAGCAATAGCAAAGCATTGCCGGGCCAGCTATTATATACATAATATAATATAATATATTATAGTGGGACATTATTTATTTTATAATCACCCTGTATAATGCGTATACATGTATATATATATATATATATATAACCGACCTGGGTGGAAAATAAGATCAAGCGAGGTTGCCTACGTAAAAAACCGGCAATCCTTACTTCACCCACCGACAGCGGAATGGAGAATTCAGAATAAATTCGTTTTTTTTTTTTTTTGGTCCAGTGCATATGTACGTATATATACATAGTTAGCTAACAGTATCGTATATGTGCACCGAAATCGACAAATCGACCGGACCGATTTGATCGCCAACCATCATCTATTAGGACGTTATAGCTCCGACCTATAATATGCAGCAACCTGGACATGGAGATTTTTTCTTTTAAAATATGGGTCATTTCATTCTTCATACACAAGTGTTTAAAATATTAATATTAATATAATGTAATATGTTGTATGAAATAATATAAATGAAAAAAAATGCTTCTGATGATATAAATATTTACAAACGAATCTAGTTTTGAAATAGTGATGTACGCTAAGATATTCAGTAGTAATTTTTTGCATTAAATGAAATATTATGCAGCTAATTTTACCGTATTGATTGGTATAACTGTATTTTATTAAATACTTTAAAAAATGTTACTATTTTGTTAATGTTTTAATGTTTTATCAGTAAAATTTAAATTGCATTAAAAATGTATAGTATTAATGTGATTTAGGTAGTATTGAGTAATAAAAAAAAAAAAAAAAAAAACTTTTGCATGAAATTCCATTAATTCTAGTACCTGAAATGAACACCAACATTAATATATTGAGCATATTTGTTTTCTGTAAAATGTGTGTATGGTTTAAAATTAATTCATCTATTTTTGGTAATACTTATTCACATTTTAAACATTACATTGATAGATTTTAAGATTTTATTATTTAGTAATACTTTTAATTATAGGTTATATATAATTTGATCAAAATGTATTGTTCATTATGTTTTAACTATATTTATGTAATATTTTAGTTATTGTCATATCTGAACCATACTCACACCACAGACACAGGCTCTAGTGAGTAGACCACCAATGTAATTATGCTTGTTATCTCATTTGTACAATTTGTATTATGTTGGTAAATAATAAATAATAATAATAATAATAATAATAATAATAATAATAATAGTACTATGTAAAATTAATATTGATATTCGAGAGTTATTTTTTAACTTTGAAGGTTTTGAACGATTTGAAGTATTGCATACATATGACGTAGCCTAGCTATATTACATGATACTGATTTGTCCACAACATGTTACGATGCGTTTTTATTGAAACTATAGTCACTATAGCCATAGGTTTGTACAACAATTTCGATAAATTATAATATCAAACGTTAGGGTGTGCGGTGTTGTACAAACGACCTGCAATTACAATCTAATTTACTAAATTATCCATATCTACATAAATAAATCAATACAGGTACACATAAGCGCACACGGTGACAAAGTATGACACATAAAGTAGTTGAATATACATTATTTACATATTTAAAATGAATGATACTGTTGATGAGATGATGTCTTAGGAGGGAATTTAGACGAGATTTCAAACGATTCTGAGCAAAGTAATATAAGTTATAATTTTTCTCTTGTTGCCCTTGTAACCCAGAAATTAACAAGAATTATTCGAAAACTTACCAGTTTTTCTCATTTTTTTGAACTGAAAATGTTGAAAAACAAATTATATAATCAATATAGTACAGTTAACTAAAAAAAAAAGAAAACAAATTGTGTCGAATATGATAATACTGAGTTTCGAATGAAAAACTAGGTTTTGAACAAACGCTGCTGTTTCAAATATTGCATATTATTATTATTAAAATATTCACGACGACAGCTGCTTCAGGAGTGTTGCGTGATAAAAAGGTGCCGTTATAAGGATAAAAGGAAAATGTTCGTAATAAAAGCTATTGCGTGAGTAGGCCAGCAGCAATGATATACTACAGGTCGGAGTGTTGGGGGCGTGTGAAATGAAAAGAGACGGAATAAAAAATATGAAATCGTAGTAGCAGATATGAGGATGATGTTTAGGTGATGTAGACGTGTGGTGTAATAAGAATAACCGACCTCAGTTATGTGGGATAATGGCAAACAAGCGAGAAATAAGGAGGAAGAATGTTATAAAGTTTCATAGTGTAGTTTTTACAATGTTTGGTTCCGTTCTACCCGTAAAATATATTTTTGGGTCAGTGGTGTACTTAGAAATTTTCAATAGGAGGAGCTACAGTAAATAATAATCATGATTCATAAATAAATCGTAGAATATTCTTTTATTATACCTATTGGTATAGCAAGTTACCCAGCCATGAGAATTTAAAAGCAGGATTGAAAAAGCCAATTTGTGTTCAATAAACTAACCTTTTTTCCTCGTACCTTGGTTGAAATATATAATTTCACGATGAAAATTAATACTAAATAAATATTCATTATATTTCATTTAATTTTTAGTCAATGAGATGGAGAAGGGTAAACCAGGGTTGTGTAGAGTTTTAATTACATCTTGTTTAAAACGTTCAAAAATTAAATAATATAACAAATATGTTCTAAAGAGAACTATATTTAAGTAGTTTCGTTATTCAAATATATGTTAAGATAAATATTTACTATTAAGTACTTCTGGATATTGTGTAGACGTCACCACACAGTAATACTAATTTATTTTGCCAAGTTAGGTGGCGCTTACTTCAGAAAAAGGTACTTTTGGATAACAAAGTAACATTTATTTCAATTGTAATTTCGTTCTTCGATAATACGTATTAAGATGAAATTCTATAATTTTTTTTCTGCGATAAAATCATTTCCCGAACGATCGAAATTGTTAGGTAGGTAAATGAAACTCCTATTGATTATTTTACGGTCCTCGTGGTGGAAAATAAGCTAGGTATACACGTCCTATACGTGTATTATCACTATATACTTTTACCTAGGTTCAGATCGGATTGGTGTGTTTTAGTTGTTGTGTTTTCGATCGGTACCAACGCCTGCACACGCGGCATTTGAATACAAGCCAAAGGTGAACAGCGAGGGCGATACTGCGAGCGCGGTATTGTCTATCATTTTATTGTCTTTGGACCGAACCCAAAAAGTCCGAAACGCGTTTCGCTCTCGTTTCGTGCCGCTGCGGAGTGATATTATCATACCGAATAATATACCTACTATACATGCCTCACGATATCTTTTTTTTCGCGATATTTTTAATCGAATCGATAACAAATAGACCGAGTTGTCGGAGTCAACGGCCAGTGACCAGCTAAAGTTTAAACGGTCAATATTTCTATTCCTCTTTATCGACGACACAATAGCTCACGAGTATATAATAATATTTGGTCACCTTGACCGTTATTTTCATACCTAATTTTTGTTATTGTAAAATAAAAACGAAATTATTATTTGTATTTTAGACTCTGAGCGGAATGTATTAGTATTACTATGATGTGTGTGTGTTTTTTTCCATATGTAAACAATTTTAGGATGTGGTTTTTGGTAGGAAATTTCATCTGCTTTAAGGTGGTAGTTGTATTTTTAATTTCTTTTACAGTAAAAACGGGATAATTTAGTTAATAACGATTCCATTATTTTTGTTATAATTGGGTTAAAAATAATTGTAGAGACCTGAAATTGTCACAAAATACTTCAGTTCATCAATATTTTGTGTTTATCAAAAACTAATTTGAGTATAATATAGATGATTTCTTTTCAAAGTTTCAAATTTTGACAGGAATCATAAAAATCACGGCATTTAAAAACATGTTAACCCGAACTTCGCTCAAAATCGTTGTTCGTAAGCAATAATTTAATATTGCTTATATAGCAACACATTGATTAACTTTATGTAACCTATACCTTCCCAAGTCAACACTGGTTACACTGGTACACCGGTATGTAGTACTGGTTAAAAAAAAAAAAACAAACTATATTTATGATCTCCACCTAAAAAAATATAGAATTTGAATGGACAGAAAAATAAATGGATTACTTCTCAGAAACCTCTGTATAAAATCATTATAGAACAAACGAGTCAGGTAGCATAAGGCGAATAAAGGAAGAGTTACTCAAGTAGATATATTTTAAGAATTATTCGAAGAAATATGAATATATGATAATTTGGAATGGAATAGAGAGCAGTCATAACGGGACTTTGAAACAGACAAGAGAAATTATACAGAGCAGCGTATAATATATAAGTTAGGTACGAGTTCAAATAAATTAGATAATAATAATATTATATTATATGTTATATTATACATACGAGTATAATAAGAAGCCGTTACCGGTTTAGATACCTATTAAAATCGTATAACATTTAAATATTATATTGGGCGAAAACCTTTGTTAGGTACAGAGAAACTTGCAGTAATAATTATTGATCATTTATTGTTGGCGTATTATAATAATTATTGTTGGGCTTATTCCAAAAGTCGTTATACGAATACTCTGATGTACACCAACCAAGTTTAGTAACCAGCTACCGGATGAATTGATGTAAACGGATACATTTTAAAATGTCTAGATAAAAATGAAAGATATAATGTTGTCATTATAATTATATAGATAAAAACGAACAAAATACATACGTATAAGTTTAATTATCAAGATAAAGTTATGTAGTTAGGCAACTAATTATCTGAGATCTAGATGAAAAAAAAATATAATGTTATTCATAACCTAACAGAAAACTTAGGGCTTAAAGTGTACCGGGTGTGGCGCACAATATCTAAATTTGAAAAAGGTTGAGTAATCGATTTAAATTTTTAAGCAATATTAGAATTAATTGACATAATTATTTAATATCCAACAATCTATTTTCTATTTATCTATAGGATATATACGATTAAAGATAAAAATATACCCATATAAAAAATACTTATTTCTACACATACGTATTTGCATACAAGACGGTATTAAAATAATTATTATTTCAGTACATCAAAATATTGTGACGGTAATGTAATCAATTTACGAGTTTGAAAAATAATAATTGTTACCTAATTTCCAAGTCTCACGCATCACACGAGTTATATTAAATGTATTGTGCATTGTGTTCGCTCTTTTTCGGTCACTTATAACGTATAAAATATATGTACACATAAAAACATATTATATAGAATGTGTGTACAATAGTTGTACTACTACAGGGTAAGGTAAAAACCGTTTTTCTTGAAATATGGGTCGATATCTTTTGTCATACGTTTTGCTACCTTTGCTACCTTTTATATATGTCCCACGATAATTTCTTTTTTTACTGTTCCTTAAAATATTCAATAAGTTTTCTTTTCAGGTTGTTTTATTTATTTTCGTCCGAATCGTCTATTGCATTATAATTGTCACATTTTTTTTCAGATGATATCAATTTTATATAAAATTAATTCCTTCAACGCTAGCGTGGAAGAGTAAATTAACCCTCAAAATTTGAGGTATTTTTTATAAACCCACCGTAACAAACATTTGTATAATTTGTAGTGCTTAGATCGTACTACTTGATATTAAGTCAATCAATAAATTACCACGCCAATTAGACATAAGAAATACAATTTTCCGAGATAAAAGGTTGAAATTTAAACCCTCTTTCCACAGAAAATATACTCCGTGCCTATGGTAAATTCCGTGCCACGAGAGAACACATACGGCAATTGTAAATATACGAATTTCGTATAATATTACAATTTTAGATTCGAAGCGGAGCGAAAAATCTGTTGGTTCTACTATGTGTCTAAGATTCGGAGCGTAGCAAAGGATTCATTGATTTTACTTAGAAGGGTGTGTACTTTTTTTTTTTTTTTTTAGGTATCATTAAACAACTTTTCGAAAATTGTTCCAATGTATCAAATGTATAATATTATTCCCGAAAGGAAATTTTATCTAATTGGTGTATTAGAGAGAGCATTTTTTGATTTTTCAAGACGTTTTCAAAATAATTTGAGAAAACCAAAAAAACAAAAATTTACGCTTAACGATTTCATTATTTTAAATTTGTACAAACTATATTTTCTATAAGAAAATATATTACTCCAATATAAAACTACAAAAGACATTTTTAGTGCATTTTTAATCTTGTTGGTGAATAAGAAAATGTTTTTTTGGTATTCTTTGTAGTTTTATTAATAATAAAGTAAAACCAGAGGAAAAAATGTAGAATGTACGAGAAAGTTTAAGGAAATAATTGTTCCATTATTTTAAATTTTATTTTTTTGTTGTAATTCAGTTATATATTCGTAGACTTGAAATTTTGACAAATATTTTATAATAAAATAATAAAGTTAAACCAAAACTATTAAAATGGTTAATACTCGTAAATAAATATATAATTGAAATATATAGAGAAATAAGAGACAAATAAAAGAATAAATGCGTCGCCTAAAGTATTATATCGTTTTTCAATTGGACCCATATTTGTCCTAGAAAACGTGGTAGGTACTTATTTAAAATGACAAAATTGTGAAAAAATCGTTTTTATTTTAAATACTGTCGCGAAAATCCAAAAATGAACTATGTAGATTACCAAGTAGATACAATTTACTTTCAGAAAAGATGCTAAACTTATACATCTGAGCATGTTTTTTTGGATAAAATTGGTCTACAGTATAAAAAAAAAAAAAAAAAATAAAGTACCACTTTAAAAAAATGATGTTTTTGGAAATTTTACCACTTCTAAGCAAGTCCAATATAAGTATTATTTGTAAATTTAAAGTTTCTACGAGTAATTATAACCGAATTATGTATTACCGAACTGCTCTCGGAATCGTCTTTCGTCAGCAATGGTTTATCGTTGATTACAGATATAAATGAAATAACCTTATGTATCCTACCTACAAGAGTATCTGCACCCGTCCCCAGTGTCAGCTCTTTTTTTATTTACTATATTTATTTACGTGTGTTAACCATTTCAATAATTTTGTTTCACTTTATTATTTTATCATTATAATAATCGTATGCGTGTTGATTTTGTCATTGTATTCAGTTTTCAAACAACTATAGTACAACTTACTCTCCCGTTATTCAACCTGCAACAATGACTTACCTATGTTATGTAAAATACTTTCGGTTTTTTTTTTTTTTTTTTTTTTTATACTTTCCTACTAATACCAGCGCCATTTTCCGGAAACGCCATAGCTCGCTCTGTATAGTACACGCTGCCGTTTATATGAAGATATAAATCTTAATAAAATGAGTATTATAACTTTTGAGTCCAATGGATTCATAATAGATTACGCGGAAAGAATGAAAACGAGCGGATAAAAGTGTTTAATATACCGAGATCTCGGTTATTAAAATCGATTCGATGTTATATTATTATATTTATATATAATGAGGAGAGAACGGAGAACAACAATAAAACTAAATAACGAAAAGCGGCTAATATTATCGTTTGAATTGGATGAATAAATTAGCATAATCGTTTTTTAAAAAGTTGCACCGTCATTTTCGTGAAAACGTCTAAAATTCAAAAATTGTTTTCAAATATATCTAATGAATTTACATAAGTACATTTTTATCATACAGTCATCATGTTGAAAAAAGTGATTAAGGCAATTATTTGGACATCAAATAGGCCCTATCATGATATTATTACAGTATTAGTGTTACTTCAAGTACAATGAAAAACCGGCCAAACCGAAAATACAAAATACATAAGTACTAATAGTTGTATGGTCGTTACGGTCGTTTGTATTTTGACTAGGCATCAAAGACGTGAATTTAAAGCGGCTAGAAACGATTGGTTTTTTCATATATTAAGACCAACAAGCTGGTATAATATAAACACTTACGTTCAGCGTAGTCCTATTTCTGTTTCTAATAATTATTTTACTTCATATACTTTTTTATTTATTTTAAATGAAAAATATTTTATTGTTTTTATGCCATTTTTAGATAAGAGATTATCTCTAGAAAAAAAAAGTAAAATCATAATGTACTTCAATTAAATTAATTTAATAAAAAAATCGAACCAATTGTGTCCAAGAAGAAATCAAAGATTTGTAATTTAAGTACGTGCATTTTACTTTAAAATGTCAAATTCGCCCATGAAAATGGTCGTAAATTTTATTTTATCACCAATTAAATAGGTATCAACGTTTAATGTATAAAATAATTTTAAAATGTCACAAAATTGGAGAAAATCTAAAAAACTGCTTTTAACCTACCTCCTTAGGTAATCTTAATTTTGTATAGTTTTTTTTTTTACTTTTAAAATATTTCCCAAATTATTATTAAAATTTAATACACCTTTAATTAAGTTAATTTAATTTTAAAATTACGTATACTTTGTCACGTGTTCATTAAGACAAAAGTTTATGAAATCGAAGACGTCTTTGTGGTTTGTCAGACCATTACTGTACATTAATTAATATTGCAGTTGATCAAAAAATTCAAGTAACTGACACGAACACTTTAATGCATAACGGAAACATACAAATTAGATTAGTATAATAATTAATATATTATTATACTAATCTAATTTGAAATATTCCTTCAATTTAGTATTATATATATTTTGTAAATAGCATACCCTGAACAATCAACAACATTTACAATGCTGTTCTATAATAAAACTAAAACTAGTGTATATAAACGCGTCATAACTGTCGCAACGGTCGGAAAAATAATAGAAATATTAGAAACAGTATTTTATAAAATGAACAATACATGTATTTACATACACACTGAAACATAATCACTTATTATGTAATTATGGTGTATATTGAATTTTCTTTTTATTAAATATTTTTTAAACAATAATTATACGATGTTGTAAAATTGAACAATGTTGAATATTTATTTGTGTGATGTGCGTTGAAATTATTATTATATTGGTAACAATGGACGAAAATAGCACGCTACCGAAAATATTATAATTTTATCTCTACCTCGCGGCATTTTGTTCGTATAATATTATTACGTTACTACTATTTATTTTTTGTTTTTCCCCCAAGCATTGTCTTAAAACTCGTTTCAAACCAATGTGTTTTGTTTAACGAAAAAAGAGAAAAAAAACCAGGAGTTACGCAATATGATATCGATTTTCCAATTAACGAATAAAGCCCGAGATATGAATGAGAAGTGAAAAATGTTTTTCAATAACATGAATAATACGAACTATATTATTACTGTATTGTAAATTCGTATAGTAGGCCAATAGACGATTGTTCTATAATTGTATTATTCTCACTGCCACACGCATTATTGTATTCATAAAAACACCCGGTATATAATTTGAATTATAATATTATGTTACCTAATCAATTTACAATATTTCATTATATGAGTGTTCCACGAAAATCTGAAAAATGCAATCACTAGGTATACCTAGTATTTACCTATTTTTCTATTGAACATTTTAAAATTTTTTTTTTATACTAGTAATAATTAGCTAATTACTAGCGTCTTAGTTATGATTCCTATAGTTTGTACTTTGCATTTTTTTAAATAATAAAGATAAAATAAATATTTGAAAAAATTGGTTTCATAAAATTCAAAATTGCCATTTTATAAATATATTTCGAAACAAAACTTTGGTGTTGTTAAATATTTAATAATGATGAATCGTTAAGTTTCTTAAATGTCTTAAAATTAACTAAATAATTTGACATGGATAAATTGATGAAACGATTGATATTATCCAGTTGTGACAATGAAAACAATTTAAATTTTTATGTTAGAACTTCAACAAATTTAGGAAAATTGACGACTCATTTTTATTATTAAATATTTGTAACATTAAAATTGCATTTCCAAAAAAATGAATAAAATGTCTATCTAGTAATAGCTGGCTGTAGTAATTAATCCAAAGAGAAAAACTTAAAAATATTGAACAGAAAAAAGTTTGTTGAATTTGACATATACGCGGGACACCCTATATACGTTTCTGTTGTTATTTACATAATTATCTTTTTGCATTGTTCAGAACTACAACCGCTTGCCTAAACGCAAAACCTTACTTCTATTAACCCATTATCTTCCAGCAAACAAAAAAAAGAAAAAGAGACATCCATATAGGTTATAGACAATGTGCTAATTGGCCACGAGAAGAAAAGTCGGCGGTCTGTCACCGAACAATTAAAACATTTTTCTATGTTTGACTCATCAACTGCCTTTCATTTAATTCCAAGTTTATACAGATGGGAGAATAAAGATGTAAATCTACTACAGATATGTAAAATGCATATCTATATAAAGTATGTAATATAATATATGTTATATAATATACGCGCGTAAAATTTGAAAAAAAAAAAAATGATTTAGAAAAATGTGAAATAAATAATAAGAAAACACGTTTAAATGCATGGTTATTTATATTAATATTTTATTTTATTGTACTGCCAATGTTATTATTTATTATAATTTAGTTTATTTTTATATTCACATAGCAATTGTGATTGTCTGTGAAAACAATTTAAGCAATAAAAGTTAAATAATAAACCAATTAATTTAAAAAATAAATATTTCGTAAAAAAAAAAAAAAAAATTGTGTATGTTACATAGATATTTATACCTGAGACCTCAGGATGAAAACAATTTTGTGTACATATCCAATATAAATTATAAATAATTTGTATACACATGTTAATTAAAATATGTCCAGGGAACTTAAATTGCTTACAATTGTATCGATTAATCCATGAAATATGTATTTATGCAATATTAAAAATGATTGTGTTAACCTTATTTCGTAAAAATCCCTAAAAATCAACATAATTTCAACAAATATTGGTACTTATAATGGTTTAAAAATATTGATGATATAGCAATATCCACGTATATAAACTCCTATTTGAATTAAGAATAGTTTTTATGAAATGTACTAACAACAGTGTTGCTAAAACGACGCAACGATTAAATGGAAACTAAATGAGACTGAATGATCAATTATGTCGATTATATTCATCAACTATTAATTATCTGGAAAATGAGCTTTCTATTTTTTTTTTTTTTTTTTTTGTGAACAATTTAGATTGCCGAAAAATTACAATCTGAGAAATTAAGTTCAAGATTATTGCAATTTTACATTATGTGCTAGCAATATATATATATATATATATATATATATAAAAAAGTTATAAATTAGCGTAGCAAATAGGAGAGATAGGAGAAGTTTAAAGAAGTACCCATAATAATTTTTGCAAAAACTCAGTGGGGGTAATATTATCTTACGCGTTAATCTTCGAAAAAAACATAATATATTATAAAAAAGTATAAATATATATTATACAATATATAGTTCATGCAGCATTAGAAAAATTTATTTGAAAAATAAAAGCCGTTAGGGACATTTAAACCCTTCTACCGTTTTTACTTTTTAAAATATTTTTCAAATGCTTTTATCAGAGCTTTTATAACGTTTTTAAGTGGTTTTTTTTGTGGATTTCAAGTGCAACAAGTTCCGAGCCCTGGCAATAATATAATATTATGATAGGTAAACTATTGAAAACATTATTTTAAAATAAAAATGTATTATTTTTTGTAAGTACTATGCCGATAGTGTATCAATGGTTACTTACATACTGAGCGAAATTGCATTTATTCTATTGAATACGTCGAGTATACTGAACAGTTATAAGTCTGGATATTATCATGCTTACAGAGATGGTCTTTTGCCTATAGGCGAAATTTCAGTTCACTTTTCATTATTTCCAAAGCTTGCTGGGAGGTATTTTTGTTTTGCTTCAAATTCTTCAAGCGTATTTTTGAATAAAAATAAGACATTTCATTGTTTTTTTTTAAAAACATTTTGATTTTTTAGTCATTGTATAGGTGTCTTATTTTGAATTTGCAGGATATAAAATCTTCTTTTTGTTGAAGCCTTTGTCGAAGGTTTATGAGATATTACATTTCTAACCCTAATTGTTACAAAATAGCGAGTATTTTTTTTTTTTCATAACTAAATTTATATCCTAATATAATTATTATAGCCAACAACAATAATATAACGATTATAGTTATATTTTTCCGAGTCCCTCGGCATACGAATCTCACACACGTTTCGAATATCTCATCTTAGTATTTCCGACAAGAAAATATAAGTGAAAACCTTGGAAAATTCGCTCGTATTATATACAGAGTATATATATTATAGAGAAGTTAAGATTTTAACTCAACCCATTTCTACAACGATTATGTTTCGCCATCCTTTATATGTGGAAAATTTGTAAGTGGCTCACGCACGCAGTTATTATACAGTGACTACAGTGGCGGAGGCGAGAGAAAAAAAATATGAGGTTCTATGCCTACACTTTAATACGTGGCACACAGTATGTGTGTGTCGTACGTGTGTGTGGTCATTATAAAATGATGGCATTTTGAATTTACGTTTAACCGGAATTCATTTTCGGTGACCCTCAGTCATTCTTTAGTATAGTGCCACCAAACTGAGTGCAGCTGCACACCTTGACAATGAATCCGTCAATTGGGGTTTTTCGTGATTCTTTGCTTTTAGAGATTCTTAGTGAAGCGAGGTATGTATTGGTTTTACAATGATGTTTATTTATTTATTTTTTGTTCTGTGTACACACATTTTACCAGAAATTTTTCTGGAGAGACATGATTTGATTTTCCAATATCCAATTATCCAATTTCGATTATTCAATATCGATAGTTCAGTTTTCATAATAACTGACAAAAATAAAAACATTAAAATTATCATGTAAAATAATTAACATTTGTTACATAGTAAACGCTAATTCACCATATGGTAAATTGGTATACGCTGTATAACATACCTTCGTATATCCTCTAAAACAACACTGAGTCTATAATCTAAACTAGCTGACCCTACGTTTCTTTGTTATTGCTAAAAAATAGTGTAAATAATAACAATAAAATAATAATAATAATAATTTTCTTGTCCGTGTCAACCAAATTGTCAATCATTTCACCAAGATAACCCATGAATAAACAAAATAAATAAATAAACAATTAGATATTCGCAATAAATAATAATTAAGAACTTAATTATTACAATTTTCGTATTATTTAAATTTTTTTTGAAAATAAAATAAAGCCCATGTGACATCGCTGAAAATGTGGCATTTTATTTGTGAAATAAGTTTTAAAATCAATTAAGTAGTTCTTGAGCTTATCCATTACAAACACACAAACAAATCTTTATTATATTATATATATAAAAAAAAAATATATATAAATATTGTAGTAAAGTATACAGTATAGACTATAAATGTAAGGTATTGCGTTGTTCATGCTGTAGTTATAAAACTATACACGTAGTTAATAAATAAATTATAAATAGAACCAGACAGATTTATATCGTATATTCATTTAGAAATTACACCAAGCTTTTTTTAATTTCAATAAATAATATATTAAAAAAAAATTCGATAAAATAATATAGTATTATATTTTACTAGTATTTTCAGTGAATATTAACTTGTTGAACTAAACATGTAAAATGCCTATAAATAACTTAAAAATCTTCAGAAAAAACATTCTGGAGATGTTTTTCCCAACAGATCATTTTACAACGACTAAGAAAGGCTGATATAAGTATTCTGTGATTACCGAGCTCTAAAATTATATTTAATCGAATTAAAATAGATAATAAAAAAACATACTCACATAATACGCCGCTCCGAATCTAGAAAATGTTGAAACCATCAATGCTGTAAACATTTCCGGTTTTCTTTTCGTTTAATTATTCGAAAAATGACTTTCAGAAAATATACTACATTTTTGAATTGGAGTAAAATATTTGATAGAAAATTGTTTAAAGGCAGAAAACATAAAGCACACAGCATAGTAAAACTAATACATTTCTATTTGCACTCGGAATGTAAAACACGTTACACCAATAGCCGTGCAACTATAACGACAGAGTTGGGTAGGAAAGTTCTTCGGAACAGGGTTATTATTTTATGTAAAATTCTACGTTCGTGGATTTTTTTAAATACTTAACAATAATTTAGTTTGGAATAGACGGTAAAGTTCTTGAAAAAAATATTGTTGTCTATATAGGGCATACCGGTGTTTCCAAGGTTTTTCGATACTACGGACAACTTAGAAAACTTTCGATTGGTTGCGGACCAGCTATAGTTTTGCAGGCGCTCATTTTTCGGGAGAACCACTGTATTATTAGGCTTTTGAGATTTCAGATTTCTGTTTACGCTATAAATTAATTTAGTCCGAAAAGTCCGGAGGCAAGCGGCCCGTCGTGGTCCGACTGAATATCAAAATGTATATAAGGACATAGTCGAATATCCGACCTTACGAATACGTTTTGAATATTTTGCGTAAATATTTCGTGATTTTGGCGACTACCGGTAACATATATGAGAACCGGACGTACCTACATAGAACAATATATTATCTAATATATTATTGTAACATAATACATGGTCGGTCGGTGTTGTGATCGATTGCAATAATTTTATAACCCAGCAAACAATATAGTAATAATTTACAATAACTACGATAGGGCAATGCGGAAACCGATAAACAGGAGTCAACGAATCGTATGTTCGTGACGGGCAGTTCGAAAACGAGTCCGGTGACCTATGTACACCACGTATGTGTATGTACATATAGCGTGTTTGCCAGGGATTATCATAACAATAATAATTGTATTATTATTATTATCGTGTTAAAACGATTAAACGGCGGCACGTGTTTTAACGGTGGCGGCGGTCGTAAATTTTGAACTGTACAGAATTACCACGGACCCCACGGTCTTTGAGGCGAGGCAAACCGAGAATAGAAGCAAAAAGAAAAAAAAAACAAGAATTAATAACACGACTGTACGCGCAACTTAATTGTTTTATTATTTGGAACATACCTAATATTTTCCGGACTATGACGTGTCCGGAGTAGTTCTTTTCGAGGTATGAGTTATTATTAGTAGTTAGCAAAAGCGAGTACTGTGAGGGAGAGATAGAGAAAGAGGAAACAACACTAAAGGCAGTATGCAATTAATTATGGTTAAAAAACAAAATAATAGTACAAATAAAAACAAAAAACAGGAAAAGAAAAATCTGAATAAAGTTGGTCGAACATCGCGTTCGAATGTAAAATGTCTTTGATACCTATACTGATATTTTATACAGGCACCGAAGAATCGCAATATAATAACAAAAACTAACCACCTTGGATGAGTAAATAATAAATCAATGTTTACATTTTATTAACTTTGAAATGTACGCAAAATTTAATTTGTTTAAAGACGGTTCGTCTTGAGAGGGATATCGATTTAAAAAAAAATTAAATTTTTATTTTCATCCTTCAAATACAAAAAAAAAAAAAAATAAATAACTTTATTTATTCGCTCTAAAAAATTGTCTTATAAAATATTTATTACAAATTTGAAAGTATCATACATAACCAATTAATAGTTTCTTAATTATAGCCGCTTAAATTTCTAGAAAATAAGAGTGAAAACAATTAATATTCAATAGAAGATAAATGAATTAACATGCTGATTGTAATTCCTTATCGCATGGTGTGCAATTTTATTGAATATTAATTGTTTTCACAAATTTTCTAAAATAAATAAATAAAGTGTATTTTGTGTGTGTGTTTAAGAGATGAAAATCGAAGACAAACCGATTGAAAAAAATTTTATATGAACAGCGCTAGAAAAATGTATGGAACATAGAGACACACTGTATAAACAATCGGTAAGAATCGCTGGGCTATATAAACTTGTTTTTCAACACATTACAAATACTGAAGTGCCTATTAGATATAAGTTACAAAAAAAAAAAAAAAACGAATTTTTGTATTTTAATTTGCTAATACTTTATATAAAAAAAAGTATATTGATTCCCAACAGTTTTTCTACACAGTTTAAAAAAACTACAAAATGTAAATATTACCTTGGCTATGTCGTTAACGAACTAATAAAAATACTCATAATACTACTAATCTCAAAATTCTCTTTTTTCCGTAAGTAAGGATTTATCATTACATACAGAATATTAATTAAACTATCCTGTAAGGATAAACCTATCTTTCTAAACACCCACCTACAACAGTGGCCTACCCGTGAGCAGTACCAACTTTGTTCACTTTATTTTTATAGAAATAGTTCACAATACTATTTCTTATGCGTTTCATTTGTCTGCTATAATAAGAGTATTTTTAATGATACTTTAATGATAGTATACAATATATTATTATATTGTTAAACAAAACATACAGTTTTAAAGTTTTGTAAATTGTATTAAAAAATCGTTATAAAAAGTTTAGACTGTATACGCGTTATGCACGTTCACTTTAACACTAATAACACAGGCTGTTTTTTTTTTTTTTTTTTTTTTTGCACGTTTAAATATTTTATGCAATATACGAAATAATACCCGAAATTCATTGCTGCACACTCCTTTTCAAATCCTGTTCATACTTTGGTAATACATAGTAAAATAAATGTATTTTAGATGTATTGGTTTTACTTAAGATCTTGATTTGTTTATTTTTTTTTCTCTTTTCTTTTATCCTGTATACAAAAATTTGACCATAAACCTTGATCAGATATATACGCAGAGCATCATTTGTGAAACGAAACATTGTCCAGATGGTACTTTTTGGAAGTCTTTTTTTGATTTTCCAAGCGGTTTTCATAATTTCTTGGAAAAACCTACGATAAAACGTAAGAAAAACTGGAAATTTACGAAATTAATGCTTTTATTATTTTATCAATTTGTTATTTGTTGCAATTAAGTTAAAAATATTCATATAAAGTCTATGGACTTAAAATTTGCACAGAAAGTGTATACTTGTTTTTTCTAGAGGAGGTCAAATTTTCAAAAAATTTTAGCCACTTTTGAGCTATTTATAGACATTTTCAATCGTGTATTATCAGAAGTGAAATTTGAAAGTATTTCCGAAAAACTGAACAGTAAAACCATATGAAATTAATAATATAATGAAAACGGCCACCATTCTGTATAAATCAATTCGAATCAAAACAAGATACTTGTTGAAAACCGTCGCGAGGAACTGAGTAAAAGGCACCGTATAAAAGGAGTACCATTTTTTCATTTCAATAACCAAATAAAAATCCACTGACCCGCAAAAAAATATGTCTTTTATTTCTCAAAGGGTCTATGTATTTATAATATGTACGGATTAATATATATATATATATATATATATATATATATATACATTGGTCATTATTTTCAATATTTTGTACAATTGACTGAAAAAAGCATGATTATTATGCTTGGCCTTTAGGAGCAATTAAAAAAGAAAGTCTCTTCACAAACATTTATACCTATGACGAATACGTCATAAATGAAAACAGAAAATTGTCAAGAATAAATTCCTACAGTAATGTACAAAGTACAGATATTTCTAAATGTACCTAATTTAAACCATACTACAGATAAATAATTTTTAGCATACACAATCGTTGTACCGGGGATTAAAGAGTAAAATTCATTGAGGTAGGGCTCGGAACTCCTCGAACTCTTAAACTTTGAAAAATATGTACAAAGTTCGATGATAAATTAATAGGCACTGTTCAAGTTTGATTTCAAACAATTCGAATTGTTCAAGCATTAAAGTCCAGTTCGATACTTAATTAACATGCCCAAAATTAGTTTGCAGACTAAAAAAAATATTTCACAAGTTTTACAAAGATAACTATTGTTATTAAACTATACTATAAATTATTATACTATATTCCAATATAGGTACGATATTTCGTATTATAATATATTTGAGTAGATATAGCTACTCCTATTAAAGTGTAAAAAAAAAAAAAAATATATTTTTGTTATTTTACCAACTGCTGCGTAGATTTCTATGCACCAAACTTAAATTAGTTGTACATACCTGAAAAAAAAAAATATTTCAATTTAATTAAATTATTTTTATTTTAAATGTTTATGCATTTCAATATTAAACTATGGTCATTTATTTATTTATCAATACAGGACAAGTTAAAAAATACTAATATGATAAAATAGAAGAATCTGTATTCTAAGATAAGACGAATATGAGAACAGAAAAGGGATTTGAGTAAATAAAAGTAGAAATATTGATTTTTTTTTTTTACAAACCTATTACTTACAGAAACGATTTATCACAAGTTTGAAGTTATTTTGTCCTCATAATAATATATTATTTATTATTATATATTGTAAATTCAAATATGTTAATATGATCTTCTAATGCATCAACTAGATAAAATTTCATTTCAGAAAAGGTGCAACACTTGATTCACCAGAGTAAGATTTTAAGTAGAAAAGTTGTTCGCAGACAGAAAAAAGAACACTGTAATCATAGTAAAACCAGTAGATCTCTTGCTACGCTCTGAATCTAAAATATTAAAAATTATGAGCACGACTGTACGTGTATATATTTTAATATATCTTATTAGATTTATAAATCAGCTGAAAAATCAAAACGCGTTACGACTTTACAGTAATTGCCAGCAAAAATTATAAAATTACTCTAATGTTGGCTAACAACACTAGAGCATTAGAGAAAGAAAATAAGCAATTTTAGAAAAAAAATTTGAAGACAAATCTATGGCCCGAAAAAGAAGAAAAAAACAAAAATATAATACGAGATTAGTTTTAGAAAAAACAATGACATTTTTTGTAATTTTGGTGAATCAAATATAATTTTGACAACCAAGCCGAAGACATTAAGCTTATTAGATATGTAGTTTGTAATAAGATCAAACTCAATATTAGAAAATTACCATAAATTGGAAACCTTAGGGAAAGAATTTCCTAGGGAGAGGGGATAAAGCTGAGTAAGATTTGGAAAGATCGGGAATAACAAACTACAAAACGTTAGCATTGGGTCTGCAGAAACAAAATGAAAAAGTATATGATTCAGAGTTAGGTCAAAAGAGCATATAAAGTTGCAAAGAAAAGAAGAAAATGAATTACAGAGTTTTCATTTTTGTAAATTACTATAATTTTGTGATTACTGCCTAGCAGATTTGATATCGATATTGTACACATTACGTAACTACTAAATATTACTTTTATTACAAAATATATGTCTATAGTGTGTACAACACAATATAGTTTGATCGATATGAAGTAATAATAAGTAAAACAAGTACAATTGTGATTGTGTACACGTTAATTTTTTACTAGTTTGTGTATTTTAGTTTAAATGAGTAGGTACACAGCTTAACAAACAATATTATGTTTGTAACCCGCACGCAAGTTGTCAATGGTAAAATTAATAATATCGCCTCTTATAAAAGCGATTTTACTTAACTGTTGTAGCCGTTATTCATAGTCATTGCGAGCCATTATTTCAAACTTTGTGTATTTACATATTATGTACTCGTATACACACAATGTTCCGTGTGACTATAATAATAATTCAATCTGCCCATTATTTTCAGATTGAATTATTATTGCTATCTCCAAGAGTATAAGTTCCAAAAACCGTATATTAATAGCAGTGATGTGATTTATAATGTGTACACACTCAGTAGTAATACGGCTTGTGCGCGGTTGGGAAACCGGACGGTTTTCGAAAACAATTTGGAAAAGATTTAAAACGTTTATATTATACACTGTCGAGTAACGCGATTTGTATGATTTAAAACGCATGTATATAGTTATTTTCTGAAAGTTCAAACGAAACGACTTATATTATACGCATTGGACGAAATATTTTCAGTTTTATTATTCGTTTACTGTCATATTTTCAGTCAGTGTTTTTTTTTTTTTTTTTTCAAAAATTAAAATATTATTAAATTTGCTATATTTAAGTTCGCTGTAAAATATAGTTTCATGTCATTAAGTATAGTAGCACGACCAGTGGGAAGGAGAGTTTGGAGATTATAATATATCTTCCCCCCAAATTAAATTTGAGATTTTTTTACGAATTTTTCGTAACATAATAGTTGTATAGTTTATAATAAAATTTCAGACATTTTCTTAAAATATAGTAGTATGTATTTTACTTATTAAATAATTTACTAGCCCAAAAATCGGTCTAAAAATTAATCCTGCAGGTCGTGCCATTGATCATAAGTATTTTTGTTGATTATGTAATCACGAGATTAATTCAAAAACATGTTCGTCCGAAAAAAGAAACAAAAATCTCTTAAAAAGTGATAAATTTTAAACTACAATTATAAGATAATGTCAGCGTTTTTGAACATAGAAATCTTGTGTCAAAAAAATCGTTTTATCTCTAAATAAGTATTAATTAGCGTGAAAAAGCTTATTATGATAAGAAATGAATAACACAATTTTATTTAAAGAATTACATAACATTTTAGTTAAATATAAAAAAGTAACATGAAAAAAGTAACCGGCTTTATTTAATTGTAAAATAAACAACAATTTTTTAATATTTATTATTTATTTATGTATACTTATATATATATACATACAGGACGAGTCCAAAATTACAATAGTGAGTACACAATAATACTTAAAATTAATTTTTTAGAATTGAAAGAACTAGACCTCGTTTGCTGTTGGGTAGAAATAATTACATATAGTGGAGATTAAAAGAGGGTCTATGGTTTGCACTGCACATAAGCCGGAGAATAGGGAAATTAGTAGGTACATTAGGGAGGTCATTTTTTGATTTTTCCAGCTGTTTTCATAATAAATAGAAAAAACCGGGGAAAAAGTATAAACAACGGGAAAATAGGTACAACATTAACCAAATATTATTAAAGAAAATATATAATTCATATGTTGCTATTTTACTATAATAATGGCTTATATGTATATATATATTGTTGACTACGTCCCACTATTAACCGAATTCCACTCAAAATCGTTTTTCGTTAAGAAATGGTTTATCGTTAAGTATAGAAAAACGTACAATTTCCCTTCTACCTTTCCAACTTCTCACCTACAACAGTGGCCCACTCAACGTGCGGAGTATGTCGGTCGTCTTATTATTTTCGTATACGCAACCCATTCATTTTTGATAATGCGTCCTCCCTTTTCAACAATAATTTGCCATATTTTCGGAAACAAACATTTTAAGATTAAAGCAGACGCACATTACGAAAATTCAATACTATTAATGTAAACGATATTGTGTCTGCCAGTGATTTTTTTTATTTAACGCCAACGTCAGTACAGTATTCGTATAAAACTAAAAAAGCGATTCCACAAAAAAAAAAAAACAGAAAAAAGAAAAAAAAAGAGGAAAAAAATTGAGTAATTGAATTAGTTTTCGGAATTGTTTCGATTCGCGAGTATTCTACGACGATATATTATTATAAAAACAGAATTGTCGTAGAAATAAATAAAACGGAATGCGTTTCGAAAAAAAAAAAAAGTTGTATTAATTTTTATTCTTTCGTTGTGTTGTCTTAAGGATTATCTCGCAAGCCACCGACATCGATCCCGCAGAGCAGCAGGACGAACGTTGCGGAAAATGAAAATATATCTCCCGTATAAATTTTCTTGTGAGTAAAAAAAAAATAAAATAAAAAAAAAAATGAAAACGTATCGTATACTACTTCGGATACGGAACTCCAATCACGTGCGCGTTCCCGAAACCGTTCTCAGGACGAGGGAAATTTTTACGCGTAACCAAACCACATTTTCTTTTTCTGTCAGTCTCGTCTCCTGCA